AAAATTGTCAAGCATTTTGTTTTAGATGTTAACAGGATGTTAACATCTAATGATGTTTACAGAGCAGCGTCTGACATAATTTGTTTAAATTCTTGTGGGACTGTTCTGGGAATACTCTAATACTATGTTCTTTTGACTAACTTGTACTGTACCTCCAGGGTAAGTGGACCAATAAGCAGCGCTGTCTTGTGTTCTGTTCTCGTGGTGTTTCTTACCGAGCCAGACATCTCATGAACGACCTCAAGACTCTCATGCCACATGCCAAAGCAGGTAACAACTCCATCAGTCCAGACACCAGCACATTAAGACTAGGAAAAAATTGTGTTTCTGGTTTCTCTTTAATTTTTTTAAGACCTTACTGGCTTACATGTTGTCTTTGAGTTTAACACAGTTTGAACTGTTAGAATTCTTGTCTAGTTTTCCTGTAAGTTGTGATTTACCTAAATTATGTACATTTAATGTTTTACCTAATTGTGTCTCAATGATTATCTTTTGTCTAATTTCAGAAAGCAAGATGCACAAAAAGGAAAACATCCAACTCATTAACGAGGTAAAAGTTTTTTTTCAGTATTTCAACAATTTTATAAATCAGCTGCCTATAAGTAGCTGCCAATACTAAAACAGTGCAAATCATTCTTTCCATGTTTTTCTTAGCTTACATTGATGTTGAAAAAGTGTACATGTATTTTGAAGAAGTTGAATGTTGTACACAAAAATTAAGAGAGATTTTTCTTCCATAGATGTGTGAGATGAAAAACTGCAACAAGTGTGTTTACTTGGAGGCCAGGAAGAAGATGGACCTGTACATGTGGTAAGTACTAACATAGACCAAAACACAGATTTTGACATTCAATAATCCTTCAAAAAACAGTTGTTATGGCCAGATGGTCACAAGATATTTTGCAGGACTTGCATTGATGTTGTTGATAATCATTTGTGATTCCTGTGAGTTACAAGTCTTGAGGTCACTTTTGATTTTAAAAGAAGAGATTTGAATGGTATCATAATTGTATTGTAAAATATGAAAATGATTTGTTTATTTTGCAGGGTGTCAAACGTACCTCATGGCCCTTCTGTGAAATTTCTGGTGGAAAATGGTCAGTGGATAAGTTTTATGATGTATATGAATCTGCATTGTTTGTCCATTGCAATATTTCCAATATGTTTTGGCAGTTTTTTTGAATGTCAAAAGTATTTTTTTCTCTAACAGGTGCACATCTATATGTTTTTGTTTCAGTTCACACCATGGGAGAACTGAAGTTGACTGGAAACTGTCTGAAAGGTTCCCGACCCATTGTCACATTTGACAAGGTATAAAACTCAAACAAAATTAACCTAGAATTTGTTGTAGAACATGTAATAAACTGTGTACTAATTAACATTTTAGTAATTTCAACAATCATGGTTCTCTTATAAGAGAAGCTAAGTTTCCTAGAAATGTTCTGAAGTTACCATACATGCTATCTTGTTCAATTTTTGTGCAATACATTATTGTACATGTATGTGCATGACAGCCATCTAGTTTTCATACAGTAATTGACTTCCAGTTTTTTCACTGTTTCTATGTGGATGGAATAATCATATGTTTTACTTTTTACAGAGTTTTGATGAACATCCCCACTGGAGCCTTATGAAGGAGTTGTTCACACAGGTATGTAAAACATAAGGCTTATAAGGGCAGTCTATAATTATTAAATGAGTGGAAATATTTGCTGCATTTTTTGTTTTCTGTCCTATCTTGTCGACTTTTGTATAAGAAGACCACTTGTCTTAGAAGACCATGCACTTAATTCCAGTCCTTTGGGTGGTCACAAGCTTGACTGTATTCTTGTCGTGTTCCTCTCAGACATTCAGCACGCCGTACCACCACCCCCGGAGTCAGCCATTTGTGGACCATGTCTACACCTTCTCTGTAGTGGACGACAGAATATGGTTCCGCAACTATCAGGTCAGGAGATGCGTTTGATTTGATTTGACTTAATTTCATTCTGACAAAGCTTTATTAGGTGTACATGAAGCTAGTAGGGAATCGAGAGCAGCTTGCTTACTTAAATTTGGTCTTGCCTTCTTGTTGTAGATTGTTGATGAGAAAGGTTCCTTGGCTGAAGTGGGGCCCAGATTCGTGCTGAATCCCATCCGAGTGTTCGGTGGCAGTTTTGGAGGACCCACGCTGTATCAGAACCCACACTACAAGTCACCAAATGAGGTAAAGACATCCATTCTTGCCCATTTAGTTACAGTTTGTCTATCTATCAATGCAGTGGTTTGATTGAAAGTTTGAAATTCATTCTTTGAATAAAAAAAACAGCCTGGGATGTTGACTTCATGACTCCTGTCGTAGCATCTGGGGCTATCATAGGATACCAAGGCCCGTTTAAAAAAAATCGTAAGCCAGCAAATTAAATCAGTGTGGCCTAACAATAAATATTTGAGTAAGTCCACTACTGGTATGTAACAGAGTTTGTCTCTGTTGACAGATCCGACGGGCCATGAGGAGGTTGAAGGGAGACAAGTACACGAATCGTGTCCTGGCCAGAAAGGCGCTCCAGGAGAGGAAGACAGACGAGACGTACCCCGTGGACCCGACAGACGATGTGTTCAACACACACGGGGACGGGGAGGAGTCGGAAGATGAGAAACCTCCGCAGAAGAACAAAAAGAAGAGAAGAAAGAACTGATCAAAACAGCAATGGGAAAAGAAGAGGGTTGGGAAGAGGGAAACTTTTCACTTTAGTTTTAAGACATCTAGTGCAATTTCAAGGTGGCACTAAATATTCTGGATTAAGAAATCTGCATGATTTTGTCATTTACTGCCATTTCTTAGCACATTTCGTCATCATTTCATATTTGAAGCATTTGAAAGAGCCCCAAAATAGCTATGTGAGGAGTCCCTTTAATTTTTTCTTCACAGGTATCCGTATGTTACACATACACATATAGGATAGGGTTGATTCAACTTACTAAATGGCATTGGATGCCTTCAAACTTCTCATGAAACGTAGAGAGAGGTCACAGGCATTGTCAAACATATTAAAATGCTAGTAGGTAACTTGCTTTTCTTTCAGATCAATAAAACATCAATGGCAATTTTTCCAATATTTGTGTCTTTTATATCACATTGAGTAACTCAACTTACAGACAAGATATATGATATTATTTCTTTGTTAACATGAAGAAATTTTAAGATTTATGTTATCATATACAATGTATTCACTTCATAGCTGTTACAGTCCAGTAGGTTTAGAATAAAATTTAAACTTTGGCTTAATTGTGTGTATGTCTGTGTATCCAGCATGGCGGCCAATACTTAAGTCATAGTCACGTGAGTGCAAACATCGTATTTGTGCATGCAAATACATGTGCTTAAGTTGATATAAATGCAGTCATCCTCTCATTGGTTGAACAGTTTTGCCCTTCTTGCCATTGGTCGAAAAGCTAATTGTGATGGACAGTCGACGTCAGGATCGGTCCATCCCGTGGTACATACAGGGACCAATTCTATCATTAATCGTGTCTTGTAAACAAAAAGCAAAATTTACATATTAAGAATCCAGCTTCCCATGGTCCACACAGGTGTCAGCTCCTGAATATTTCCCTACAAGATGCCATAGTGGCCATTTTTATTCTGTCGGCGTCATCCTTTCCTAACTTATAATGCCGCTACGTTTTACAATACTCCTACTTGCAGTTAACCTCGTGAGCAGTATCAACACAACAAGTATATATACCACTGAGGGGAATACGACGAGAACCACCGTAATTGCTACCTCGTTTTTTGACTCGTATAACAACACAGACGCTGGAACTGCGACAGAGCTCGAGGCTTCAAACGCGACCTCGCAATTTGACCACAGAAACGGGACATTTATCGTGCCAAAACCGAGGTTAATCGACGAGGACAGAGGGTTTGGTGTGGACGTTATTTTTGGAGAGACGTCTGACTCGAATGTAACAGAAACAGACGAAGAGGAACTGGGAAGCGGCATTTCTAACGCTGCCAACGTGAACGGTGAGTTATTTGTCAACATCAGTGTAAGACTGGTAATTATTGCCTTCAAGAGAAGGTTATGTTTTTGGTACCGTTTTGTGTTAGGTACACCATATGGCACATGGTGTAGTTTTAACCGAGCTAGAGAGCTGCTTTTTAAAAACTTTTGGGGGCCTTTTATGTTGGAAATACTCTAGGCAGGATAACTGTTTTCACAATACATTTTGTACTTAATTGGTAGGTTGGGTGGGGTGGGGAACACGAAGGTCAAGTTCGACAATGGGCATTCTAGTGGCTTTCCAAGGTACTGCAGTGGCACGTTCGGGTTTGATATCTAGATATTCCCACATCAGGGGTCTGTGGCGAAGCAACCTACAGCGACACACGCGAAAAGTAATTACTATAGAATAAACCAACAAAACTAACAAACGAAGGTGTGAGATCTCTGAATTCTAGTTCTCACAAACTTCAATAACGTTTAACTTGTCTCCAGGTTCAAGAACCGGTGACTCGAACCCGAAGGCTCAAGGAGAACACCCCAACAAGATCGTGCCTTCCTCCCGAACCGATCTACCAAGTCATGTCCCGTCTTCTTCCACTGAAGGAATCATCATCATCGGCGACGTCATCCTAGCAGGCCACGGTCTGAACCCGCCCTCTGCACCGCCGAACCGTGACCGGGACGGGCCTGGTGGCTTCTTCGGGACGACTGACGTTCCGCTCCCGGGGCCTGTCCCGAAGAAGAGCTCGAGCGGGAACCTGGTGGTGATCATACCGCTGGTGTGCCTGGGGTTCGTGCTACTGGTACTGGTGGTGGTGCTGCATTGTCAGAACACGTGAGTCTCCGTGCTGCTGTTACCTCAATGAAAAATGGAAGTATTGTTTTTGATATGTCTGTGTGTGTGTGTGTGTGTGTGTGTGTGTGTGTGTGCTTCTGCATGTCCCTTAGTTTAGGTTGTGATGGGTATGGCTGGATGCAATCTGCCCAACAGTGAGGCAGCAATTAAATCTTTTCTACATCTGGTAGCGTTCGCTGCTTTTACAGGTGCTTTTTGTTACATGACCTCCTTGACAGCTGTTTCCCTTGCACAATAAAGGAAAGGGGATTGCAAAAGGAGGTTGCAAATAGGTTACGTTGCAGCAGTAGTTGTCTAGGTAAATGGAGCACTAGTTCATTCTTTAACCTAACTATCAATCCTATCGGTATGTAGACGGGAGCGGCGGAGAGTTCGCCAGTTGAAGGTGATGATGCGGCGAGATGCCCGGATGTCTGCCCGGTCCACTGACCCCCTCTGGCGGAGTGACCGGAGCTGCACCAGCCGCGGCGGCCGCAGTTCCACCAGCCGGGGCGCGCGCAGTGCCCGCAGCCAGAGGAGCCAGAGGAGCTACGAGTTAAAAGTATGTATTTGATCGTGTTGGTAGGTACATGTTTAGAGTTAAAACTTTTGTTCCAACACAAGGGAACTGTTTTTACCTAGACCTTTCGACTAGTCACTCAGCCAGAGAAGCCAGAGAAGCTACGAGTTGAAAGTATGTATTTGATAACGTATCATGAAAGTTCATCTGTGTTGGTAGTTACATGTTTAAAGTTAAAACTTTTGTTCCAACACAAAAGAATTGTTCTCACCTAGAGCTTTCGACCAGTCACTCTAGTCTTCTTCAGTAGACTAACCCAGTGAGACGTGGCTTCTTTGAAGTGTGATGTCAGTTCAGTTCAGTTCAGTTTTTATTCGCACTTTAAAACAAAATACAGACACAAGAAAATATAAATGAAATGTGACAGTGCAGGGAGGCCGGAAGCATAAAATGCTTATGAGGAGGCCTCCCTTCATAACTTAATTAACAATTCAAATTAATCGGATAAATAAGAAATAATTTACTAGGTAACGGGTAAATGAAACAAAACAATAAAATACAATACGATACAATACTATCTACAATAATGAAAAGTAGTAATGAAAAGTAGTAAACAAGGAAACTTAAACAAAAATTAAGAACGTGTGGGGTTATTTATGTAAGTTGCTTTGGTATGATTTTTGAAAATGGTGACGGAGGGACTAATTTGTAAAGTTCTACTTAGGTTGTTCCAAATTGTTGGGCCTCTGTACGTGATTGTAAATTGACGAGGATTCGATTTCGCATTGGATGGCCTTAAATAATTGCATTGACGTGTAAAGTGGTTGTGGATGTCTGAGTTTAATAAGAAGGTGTAGGTGTCGTGGAAGGTTTCAGGAAGGCAAGGACATTTATTCATTATCTTGTACATTAAAAGACTTGTTTGTAGTTTATTTATGTCATTTATGGACAGTATTTTGAGCTTTTTAAACAATGGTGCAGTAGGGAAAGTGAATGAAACTTTTGACGCTATCCTGATGTATCGTTTCTGAAGCAAAAAAAGCGGTTTAAGTGATGTAGTGTATGTACTTGCCCATATAATATTACAATAACTTAAGTAAGGATAGATAAGACTATAATAGAGAGTGATAAATGTTTTAGGAGATAAAAGATTTCCTACTTTCCGTATAATACCAATGTTCTTGGATATTTTTTTACTAATAAGATCGATGTGATTTTTCCATGTTAATTTTGCATCTATTAAAACCCCTAGAAAACGGGTGTGTGTTACTTGAGTAATAAGGTTGTTGTTTATGTATATTTGTACGTTTTCAACACTGGGTCAAAGTTATCTGATAGACGATGTCGGCCCCCGTCGCGTGACAAGGCTCACCGACATGGCTAGATGCCTGGATGTCTATTCTTATAACCGTAACTCCCTTCTGTTGAACAGGAGCTGCCTCACTGTGCGGAATGTCACCACGGCGTGACGCTACACAAGCAGCAGCTCACTAACGGCTACCCCGGCGGCAAGTCCTGCAACGTACCGGTCACCGCCAGGTCTTTTTTTCAATTATTTCTGTTCTTCCGATATTACAAACAGAAACAAAGTGGCATTCCACTTGTGTCAGTCAACGGTGCCACTTGACAAGTGCATATCGATAATCGAGCTATATTTTATAAGGCCGCACTAATTTTATGGATGACATCCTCTAAGGATCCCTGAACTACTGCGCGCGGGTGAATAAAAAATCGATATCCAGCCAAAATACTGCTTAAAATTAACCACACTAATACAAAGCTAGTATTGTGAATTTGCAGTACTTTACGACAAGCCGACACATGCTAGCCTATTGCAACATTTATGAGTCTGCACTGTACTGAGTTCTTGAGTTCTGTGGAGCTTTGGCAGGATTTTGGCAGCTTTGGCAGCTGTGCTTGTCCGCAGGTCAGATCCTAACATTCTGGGACACCGCGGTATGAAGGGTCCTGTGGAGTACTTCCTGGATGATGAGTTGTACAAGGCGTCGCTCACCCCGTTCCACAGGAAGACTCAGTCCGAACCTACCAGACTCAACGCTCACGTAAGCGAGATAACCTCTCTACGCGTTCTATGCTGTGTATTTATACTTTTTGTCCATGGTCAACCACTTGTCGCTATGTCTTATTGAAACAGAGCAAGCCTTGGGTTACCGCTTGCATTTGCAGGTTAGCACACGCTGGTGTGTTTGAGGAACACCGTACACTTTTTTTTACTGATCCTAATACCATGAACAGGTGTGTTTGCATTGTATGGATGTACACCTGTGCGGATGCACACGTGTGTGTGTGTGTGGCGTTCAGCACCAAGGACAGCTAGTGCGTTCGCCTATGTATGGTTGATGGTGTTCGCACCAGGAAGAGATGTGTTTATCCTTTTGTGGATGGCGTTCAGCACCATGGACAGGTACATTCGCTTATAGTTCATGGTGTTGGGCATCAGGAACGAGTGTGTTTACCTTTGTGTGGATGGCATTCAGCACCAAGGACAGATATGTTTGTGTGTGGGTTCTATTTAGCACCAGGGACAAGTTTGTTTGTGTGTGGATGGTGTTCAGCACCAAGGACAGGTACGTTCACTTGTTATTGATAGTGTTCGGCACCAGGGACAAGTGTGTCCTGTGTGTGGATGGTGTTCAGCACCAAGGACAGTTACATTTACCTGCACTTACATAATCCTCTTCGCCCGGCTATCATAGAATGCCTAGGCCCGTTTCTATTCTTTTCGCTCCATCATTTCATTTCTTTTAATGAAAAAAAAAGCCGAGAACAAAAAAAAAACATTTTCATTTCATTTTATCTTTTTCTAGATGGCCTATGATGCCGAAGTTGACTCGCCGTTCCAGCGAGTGCCGAACAACTCTCCGGCGGGCTCGTGCCCCACCACGCCCCACCCGCGCTACATCAACGTGACGGAGCCCGACAATCACGGCCACCTGCTGGCGGCGTCCCTCAGCGGGCTGGACGCCAAGTGGACCGACAACCGGCTGTACGTGCCGCCAGACAACGACCCGCTGGCCGGGGGACCGCTGCCCCTGCACCTGTTCGCGAACAGGGATATCTATCAGGTAAATGTAATAGTGTTGGAGTAGTTACCATAGAGGTGGGTACGTAGCAGGGATTGACAGACTAGTACACTATGCTCTCTGCACATCTTACCCAATTTATTGCGCAAGGAACAGCCCTGTCTTGGATTCTCCCTGTCCGTTTGTGATCTTTGTGATTTCCGTTGCCAAGAAGATTATGTTTCAGTTGGCACCCTTGTGTGTGTGTGTGTGTGTGTGTGCCTGTGTGTGTGTGTGTGTGTGCGCGTGTGTGTGTGTTTGTTTGATTGTAAACACGATAACTCGACAAGGCTAAGATGGATTGTCTTGATATTTCGTAGATGGGTAGGGCTTTGCAAGAACTTGAAATGGTTAGATTTTTAGTCCCCTGACGGCTTGTTATGGTACTGCAGCTGAATTTCTGGTTTTGGTATCTCGTGATCTGGACATGCCAAAGTTACGAATTTTGGATGGTAGGTAGTTCTTGGGCCGGAGAAGAAATGACTTGGCCCCTACCAGATTGCTGTAGTTGTAATTCATTGCTATTCCGCTAGGACCTGAACTCCAACTCCATCCAGAGCTCCATGGGTCCCGGCCTGGACAGTGACTTCGGCGCCAGCGCGGGGCTGTCTCTCCGCATCATGTCATCTGACTCCAGCATAACAGGTCAGTGCTCTCTTTTCTCGCATATTGAAAAAGGCAGTTTATTCTCACACAATTAATCACAATTTAGCCCTGCTTGTATTTGCGTGTGCCGATACGAATCAGTGCATTTTCTATTACAATGTACACTGCCCTCGTATACAACCACCAGAGGATGACCATGCTCAGCAATCCATCTTTGTTTTGTACATTTTTTCTGAAGGAGCCTTTATTAACTTATTACTTAGTGGTTCACTCCTCGTGTGTCCAGAAATCAAGACACACATTTTGACCTTGATTCAAATCTATCTTGGAAACATAAAACGGTTTATCATAAAACTGCCTACAGTTTTACGTTGTCTTTGTATTTATTATAAATAGGTACATACTAGGCTAATATCTGGATACTTTCTGATGTTGTATTGTCGTTCTGTCACGATATACAGGCTATCCAACCACCTACAGTGGTAACACCGGGGAGGTTCTGTCTACCGAGTCCTCCCTCACCTCCACCATCACCGCCACCCCGGCCAGCAGCTGCAGTACCGCCTGGGTCAGCCAGGGGGACACCCGACTGTACCAAACCCGCCTGGAGGGGTGGGACAACCAGGCACAGATGCCCCTCCTCAGCAGCGAGGAGCATTGGGTTTAAATACCTCCTTCAAAAAGGTGCTTCAGAATGAGACTGGGCTGGCATCTTAAGTTTTGAAGACTTCTTTGAGCATTCGTAAAGGTTCAAGTAGATATTTTTGTCAGCCTTGTTTCCAACTTTCCGTTGAACACAAGATCTATGATTTAAATGAATGCGGCACCATGATTGAGCGTGCTACCTTTAACTCTATTCTTGAGTATCTATATAAGCTTCGGTTTGTTGTTTTTTCTTGTTATTTAGCTAGCTACAGTATGTCTAAATGGATGCAATTCTCTGTATTAAAGTAAAGATACTGTTACTCTCCAGGTCCTAAACTGGCTCACCATTCTGCTGAGATGTGTAAAGTTCTGTATGAGGGACTCAATCTCTTGTTGCACGTTTATTTGTTTTCACTGCACTGTTAAAAATTGTTATCTATTTTCCCAAATAGCTGAGCTATATCCATAAAACTTAGTGCACTAAGAGAAAAAAAAGATACATTGTATGATATCAGAAGTGTTGTTTCTTTCATAAAGAAGTATTATATTAGTACTATATATATTTTGATATTTTGAATAAAGCACCTTTTTGTTGTTAAGTGTATGTGTGCTTCTGGGTTACATGTCTCCTGAACAAAATATAGAACCAACCCCTACCTTGTCTTTCAACCGGCGTCCAAAAAGTTTACGCCTGGGACTACCCTGGGAGCCATCCTAGTTGGGCGTCGCGGAGAGTTAGTAAACGCGCGCGGGCCTTGGTTAGCCCGTCCCCGGCACACGCCATCCCCGCCCTACGCTGTGCACCACATGCGGAAACCCTCTAGGCCGCGCGCTGATAGTGATTACGCAAACCCCCAAGGTGCCCCGCCCGAACGACGAAGTTTACTACACAAGGTAACTTTTGATGCTGTATACTTGCTTTCATAATACTTTGTTGGTATGTTGGGGTCGGGAATATGAAGGTCAAGTTCGATGATGGGCTCATACCCTAAGAGTCGATTTGAGCCGAGGCAGTCTGCAACTATACTATTTTATAGCACTCGCCAAAAGAAATAACAATAGAAAAACCAAGAAAAAATATACCAATAAACGACATATCTAGTTCTACATCTTTTATTCGTTCGAGCTCCAACCACAACTCCTCAGTCAATGTCAAGAGTTACCGTGTGTCGGAGATCAGAGTCAAGGCTTTTCCCAGCAGCCATTGCGCCATCAAAGTACCCCGGCGGTCAAACCATTTTACCAGAGACTCCTCATAAAAATGGCACTGGAAATATCTTCATTCTGTTCGTAGACGAACGTGTAAAGCCGACACCAAGTGTAGGAGTTGTGACCTAGAAGTATATCAACCTGGTGTTTAGTCTATCGTGGTTTGGACGGGCTCTCTTCGGGCCTATAGTCGATTCTCGCCGCCCAGTTGAGCTAGGTTCCCCGGCAAGTTTTGCACGACGATAGTTCAAGTCATCAAACGCTGCCGTGCAAAACCTACGGGGGAGCCTAGTTGAACTGGGCGGCGAGGATCGTCTGTAGGCCCGAAGCGTGCCCGCCCAAACCACGATAGACTCACACAGGACACCAGGTTATAATATCCTACAATAACATATGCGTACAACCGCCGTCGTGTTTCCACAATAAATCATTGAAAGCGTATTACAAGTATTTTCTCGAATCCACATGAGTGAACAGTTTTCTGAACATCGTACGTGTGAGGAAACAGTTTTTTACGTGAGGTGGTTTTGTTGTTGTTGATCTGACAGTATTTACGTATGCCGTGTCCCTACGTCCAGACTAAAAGTAAAATTCTGATAACATTTATCAATTTTCGCACTATTGCATTGGTATGATCTCCAAGCAGGTGCAAGGTCCGCGAACCACTGAGCAGGACCTCTTACATCTGCTTGGAGACATTGTTGGTATTTTCTGAGGCTTTTCACTTCCTTAGCGAATATCTACACAGAAATTTGTTGTACCAGTGTGTTCATAGTGAAGATCTACAGGTATTTGGTGTACCAGGGTGTCCATAAATTATATCTACAGGTATTTGTTGTACCAGGGTGTCTATAACGTATATCTACAGGTACTTGTTGTGCCAGGGCGTCCATACCGTATATCTTCAGGTATTTGTTGTACCAGGGTGTCTATAACGTATATCTACAGGTATTTGTTGTACCAGGGCGTGGCGGTCTCACACGCCCCACACGGACTCTGTCTGTAGGCGGCTCGGATCGCCTCCTCGGTGTGAGAGTTCCCCAGGAAGGCGCGCGGCAGCCGCAGGTGGTACGCCAGCCGGCCGCATCTGTCAGGAGGAGGATAGGCATTGGTTTTCGTATGTAATTCTTTGCTGTAATATATTCTGTGAAAGATAACGACAGTTCTTGTGTATGTCTCTAGAGGGCGCAGCTAACCTGGCCCACTATATGATGTCGTCCTTGGCAAGACTGTTGGCGGGGAGCGGATCTTGGGTAGCGGACTAAAGCTAACAGTAACAAGGCTGGATACCAGGCTAGTCCTTGGCGGCGTCCAACTATCATTAATGATACTGTAATAACTGTATACATGTATCTTAACATGTTGCCGCCAATTAAAATGTCAGGAGACGACGACATGCTGTGCTTATGTTTGTCGCTAGAGGGCGCAACAGCACCGCAGCTCACCTGTCATAGACCAGGATGTCGTCCTTGGCGACGTGCAGCTTGCCCCAGATGTCCTGGGACCAGGAGTCCTGGTAGATGGGGAAGTTGGCCCTCCTCTCCAGCTCGCCTTTGTACCACCAGCTCGCCCAGCCCCAGTGGTTCACGGCGCCGAAGAAGATGTCCGTCTTCCCCTCGTTGTACAGCTTCTGTCGGAGAGCCTCCAGACTACGAATGCGGGAAGGATAAATTTCGTATAAACGGCGTTCTTGCTCTGTGCCACGTTCGGCGCTGTCACATTCACCGTATTTTGATGCCATAAAAATTCTACGTACCCCTATCGCATAACATCGTATCTGTGAGGCAAAACCGCGATGTCGCGTTTCATACTGTAGGCTGGTTCTAGCTATTTTTGGTGGTACCAAAAATAAACAGACGCCTCACGTATTATGTTTTGGGGCTATTCCAAACACTTTAAGTATGAAATGATGCTGAATTACAGAATACACAATACATTACGGGTTTCACAGTACGTTCTGCAATGGAGGTAGAAATGAGACTTGATTTTTCTCTGATTTTCCTCCATGGTTATGCCTAGTTTCTGTATTAAACAGGGGCCCTTACCTGGAGACCTCCCCCTGGCAGAAGGGTCAGGAGCCGATGGGGAACTTCATGACCACCACCTTCCCCTTGTTCTCCGCCATCGGGCTCCGACCGTCAGCCTCCCAGTACGCGGGCGGGCCGCACATCTCCTGCGCACCGGTCAGGGTACCCAGCCACGACATCACCAGGCACAGGGCGGCCGTCTGTAACAGCCCGCTCATGGCTGCAAGGGAGGAAGGAAGGAAGGAATGAAAGGAGGAAGGAGGGAGATAATACAGGAAAGAAAGGATGAATAAATGAATAAATGAAGAAAGAAAGAAAAAGAAAAGTAGAAAGAAACGAATGAAGGATGGAAGGAAAGAAAGAAAGAAAGAGGGAAAGGAGGAAGGAGAGAATAAGGGAAAGAAAGAAGATAGGAAGGAAGGAAGAAATGAAGGAAAGTAGAAAGAAATGAAGATAGGAAAAATGGAAGGATGCAAAGAGGAAGAAATAGAAAATGAAGGAATAAAGTGATGTAGTAAGGAAATATAAAGAGAGAATGAAAGGAGAAGAAACAAAAGGGGGCAGGAGAGAAGAGAGAAATGTTTAGAATTTGAAGCTATCGTCGTTGTAAAACTAGTATAGTTAGGAAGTTGCGCGCCTCTCGGGGACTTCTTTAAAGTTTACATCTGTGACAATTTCCTTGTGTTGGAAATCTCATACTTCAAACATGTTCGTCTCGTCACCACCCCGCCCAGCTGTAGTCTATCATCAGGTGAAAGCTCCAGGCTCACCCCGACTGTCCTGCAGGACTGTCTGATCCCTGAAGCGGGAACACATGGCGGCCAGACAGACCGGGGATCAAGGCCAACCAGATAAAAACGCACCGGGGCTAAATTAAGCTCCTAGGCAGGAGTCTTAACGAGAAGACGTCTGTAGTCTGGACTCACGGAGCTCAGGCTGGCACGCGATCTTACCTAACGTCTCTTCAAGCGACAGGAAAGGAAGCGCTCGTTTCCTTTACTTGATCAATTGAATATTTAATAGGCCATGTTGATACGATTATATGATGACATCCTCTGGGATGCGAGCCAATAAAAAGGGTTGGTAAAAAAGTTGCCTTTATTATTAAATCTACGTGGTCATGAAGGTTGAAGTTGAACAAATGACTTCACACAGACTGGCAGAGTATGCTTTGGCGAATAATAGTAGACTCTTAATTTTCATTTCTTCACATTTTCTTCCATGCCCGGCTGTTGGGATTGATCGTTTTCCAATTTATTTAAAATTTACGGCATATATTTGCTAATGCAGCTGCTTTGTACGATTTACAGTATGGTCCCAAAACCCTTCTTGTTGGGAAACGGACGAAAATTCAAGCGCGCGCGGATGTCATCCATATAATCACATCAACATGGTCTTATCAAGTGTGCCTATCTGTTCAAAATGAGAAGAGAATGTAAGGAGAAAAGAGAAAGGCATCCAATCCCTGCAATTTCAGGGCGGCAAAAGTAAAAAAAAATCTGTAAGAGGAAATCGGCCTGATATTGACATTTACTGCTATTTCTTACAAACTTTTAGTCATCATTTCATACTTGAAGCGTTTGAAACAGCCCTAAAACAAACTACGCGAGGCGTCACTTTATCTTTTAAAAAATCACCCATAAACAGCTCGAACCAGCCAATAGTTACGACAAGCAACGGTTTTTTTATCAGTGACATCGCTTTTGTGCCTCACAGATATCTGTATACTATGGGATAGGGTTTTTAAAGTAATGACTAGAAAATTGACTTTAAATCCAGTTTTAATTTTGCCGCCCTGAAATTACATCGGATGCCTTTAGCTTTGACATGTCGTTTAAGAAACAATAAAAAAAAGGTCTTACCTGGTTTCTGAAGACTTCCCGCTCCTACAGACCAGACTACAGAAACCGGCCGGTGTGTTGCCGGTTTTCCAGGGAAAAGTGCCACGAGTCCTCAGTCGGCTACTGTGCAACACCGTCACGAGTTTAGGCTCATTTTACAAACCGCAAGACACTTACATTCTAGCCATAGGGGAAAACATTTCAATTTTCCACACGGCTACACAGATACACATTGCATCTCAACATACCTGGAACTAATAACATTGACAAATTAACTTAAAAACTTATATCATATCAGTCAATTGGAAATATTTTTGAAACATCAAGTTTTCCGTGTTATAGTTATTGATATAACATGTACATATTCCCTCTTCGCAAGTGGTAGAGTCCACCTTATGAAGTTTCTAACCGATGCCACATGGGCAAGTGTTATCAGACTGTGGTGTCGTGCCGTGAAGTGATTGACAGCTCTGACAGATGGTGTTATGTTTACTTTGTGTCAAAAAGATCCATCTGTCTTTGTAAACAGCCTCTGGGTTTGTTTTGAATGACGTTTAGTGTCAAGAATATATCAAACTTTAAATAGCTCCAAGTTCAGACTGATATGATGTAGCCTGGTTACCAAACCAAATTTGCGGAGAGAATACGGTTAAGAATACAGACCATAGAAATGAAATGTCTGTGGACATTCTAAGTCTTTAAAATGTCAAACCTGAGACCAGATTGTAAGGTTTGAACCACTCACACCGGGAAGGTCACTGCTCTTTTCGATAAGTGTGGTGGGTTCTTACACGTGCTCAATGCGTAGCTCTTAGTCTACTCAAAGCACGGGACCTTCTATCCAAGAGGACACCGAAGCTAGGTACTCATTTTCAGAATCAAGCGACGAAATAGGTGTAAAAACTTTACACCTATTTCGTCGCTTGATTGTTGTGTCATTAAAAGGACACAACAATGGGGGCCTGCCAGGGACTCGAACCCAGAAACTTCAGATTCTGAGTCAACCCACAAGGCCACCTTGCCGGCTTAGAACTGCCGTCTGGTCCAACCCAACATCTGCTCGGAGAGTAGAGTTTCAGACTGTAGGTAGACTGCGCCATCAGCCTCCCCCCAAAAAACTTTGTTGTGTCTAACATGGCTTCTTTGTTTATTATCTTTAAGCTTAGCGGTCAACCTTGGGGTTAACAAGTCCAAATTGCCACAGTGACTGTCACAAGGCGTACAGCCAATCCTATACCATGTGATCTATTAAAGGCCACAGTAAGTAAATTTTAGGGATGACATCCTCTGCTGAAATACTGTGTTAACATCCTCTGCTAAGATAAGGCGAGCCAATAACAATAAAAAAAAATAATGAAATAAAATAAAAATGTTGACCACCGTCGAAGTGTAACAAAATTTTTGTTTTCTTCTTTTTTCTCGAAATCAGGCAAAAATGTATGCTCTTGCTAATGTCATCTATGTAAATTACTTGCTGTGACCTAACAATTCTATACACGAGATGTAGATGAGATCGGATGAGGCTGTTGTCTTGTTGTCAGGAACAGACGGAAAATACCATCTCAAATGTCCAATAACATCTCCTAAAAGTAGATGTTGGCGTGATAGGGTGAAATTGATATCAAACATGTGTTTATCAAACTTTATGTGAGTGGGTTTACAAAGGGCTACTCTCTGAAGCAGAGGTTTAGGTTTCGGCTTATTTTTAGGTGTTTTTATCGGGATTTCTTTTTTTGTACTGGAATATTTTTTTTACGTTTCGGGTGGAAAATTAATACTGCCCTGTCAATTTTTCAAATTGGCCATGCAGTAAGTTTGACGATTTGAGCTTCTGATGAATATAATGGTTCAAACAAACAAACAAACAAACAAACAAACAAACAAACAAACAAACAAACAAACAAACAAACAAAGACACTATTAGCCTGTGTTGCACAATCTCTTGCCGTCAGGGGCTGATTTGGGCCATAAAAATTTCGACAGTTTCCGGCCATGAAAGTGAATCTCTTCCTACTGATAGGAAGATCTTTTACATACCTTCGCCAGATGACTGACGAATTATAATCTTTTTATTTTAATTTGGATAGGAAAATATACCTATTCCCTGTTTTTGCGATATTAGAAATTCAAATTCCCAAAATGTTTCTCTTCGTTTCGCGCCATTCCTGGGGTTCAGCTGTAAAAACATGGCTTTCGATTCAAGACCACAGGTTCGTAACAATAATGCAAACCAAATCAAATCAAATAACTTAAATAACGATAATTTTCAATATATTTACATTTATATACATATGCATAACGTTATACACATAAATAGATACATTAAGTTTAAACCTTGTATGAATTTCTGTCTGATTTATCAATGACTTTCTAACTAAGATAAGAAACAAATGACGCGCTATGTTTACTTCAGTTTGTACTTCCGGGTCAATTGATATCGAAAGTTTGGCGCACTTGTGATAGTGTTTTCGCAAATATCTAAGTATAAAAATCAACAAACAAACAAAACAACATACGGCAAGGAGCAGCAACAATGTCTGCACAGGTAAAGTACCCGTTTTAGTAGGAAATATTTTCGTTGATTTTGAGGCCCAGCTAAATATTCGTAGCGTATGTGCCCCCCTCCCCACTCACTAAGCTTTGTTGCGTTGAAAAAAAAAGGTTAGAACATATTTTTTTACCTCCATGGTTAGAATAACTGGGATAGCTTTAAATAGACTTCTTTTCTGTTAGTAGGTAGATAAACATTGATAACTACTTTCATTTGAAAGCTTATGGAATTAGATATTTTAACAAATCTGATAGTTTCTCCATTTTTTTTCCAGAGCTCGTCATCTAGTGGCAGGAGTCTACAAGGAGGACTTCCAGGTCCTGAGGAGTTTACAGTCAGAATACAGAAGTGAGTGGAAACAAAACATTGGATAGCTGTTGTTGTTCTCCAATATATTGCTAGACGTGGACTGGTCTGTTGGTGCTGGTTTGCGCTTGGTTCAGTTCAGAGTCAAATTGTACTTGAATGGCAGGAGTCACACTAATTAATATACTAGTACGTGACCAACGCTGACCAACACTATTCTGAGTTTCTTCTCTTGTTTGCTTTCAGGAATCCTCTGAAGAAATACAATGTGATGAGATTTGCTGCCAACAGTGGTGTGGACATGTCTACGTGGAGAGAGGTACGTACATGTATATAGTTAATGCCATTATTGTAGCCAGCCTGGCTTTTAAATCATCTAAATTTTGTACATATATTTGTAACAGCATGTCAAGTGCTGTAGGCACTGGAGGCGCCATTCAAAAGCATGCTCCCCTGAGAAAATGTCAAAATTTTAACACTTTTTATTGCCATAATTGTGACTTCACATGTGTGACATTGTTTGGTGTTCTTTCTATACCACATCAGGCCAACATGGAGAGGGAGACCAGTACCATGGACATCTACAAGGACGAGACCATGCCGGAGTACGGGGAGGGGAGTGAATACGGGCGGAAGTGGCGTGAGGAGGCTCGACAGAAAAAATACGGCATCAACAAGACCAAACTCAAGCTGGAGGACCAGCCCTGGTTACTGAAGATTGGAGGCAAAGGGGGCAAAAGGTTGGTCTGATGTTTTATTGGGAAATGCCTCAGGGTGGAGCCTTCTTTTTAATGTTATGTAGATGTATATATCTTCAACATTAACTGACATTTTTTAGCATATCTTCATCATCATTTCAAGTGTTTGAAATAGCCCAAAAGCAAACTTTGTGATTTGTCTCTTTATTTTTGGGGTATCACCAATAAATAGCAGTAACCAGCCTATAATACAAAACAAGCAATTGTTTTCCATCAGCGACATAATATTTTTGCCTCACAGATATCAGTATGCTATGGATTAGGGTTTTACTACATTAAAAGAATGACCAGAAAATGGACTTTGAAAATCCAGGCAGTTATGCTGCCTGAAATTGTATTGGATACCTTTAAAACATCATTTTTGAATTCTAAATTTTTGGTTCACCTTCATTTTTGTGCATAATTATGATTTGGATATTTTGTCTCTTCCTCTCAGATTTGTAGGGAGAAAGGAGGGCGGAATCAACGAAGCCTCGTCGTACTTTGTCTTCAGACAGACGGGAAACAAGACGTTTGAGGCCTGCCCTGTGGAGTCCTGGTACAACTTCACTCCTCAGATCAAGTACAGGTACCTCAACGAGGAGGAGGCTGAGGCTGAGTTTGAGAAGTAGGTTGAATTTTTACCATTATTTTTTGTATATAGTTGATACTCCACTTTATCCACACATAGCCAAATTTCATTTGACTTGCATATAGAAAGGTAGTGGTGGCCTAAATCTGGTCAGACTGCTCCTGAACTAATGCCAACCATGCATGATTTTGTTCACAAGGAAAATAACTTTGTAAATCATTAGAAAATCATATAGAATAACTTGTCGGTTTCATTTTATGTACATTTTAACTTATAGCAAGAAAGACTGCATTTTTATTGTTTATTTCTTTATTCACAGGAGACATAAAGTTCTGAACTACTTCAACATCATGATGAAGAAGAGACTGGAGAATAAAGAGGAAGGAGAAACAGAGGGGGAAACAGAGAAGAACGTATCGGCCAGAGACGACTTGGTAAGTAGAACAAGTACATAGGTGTGTTTCCACAAATTTTATCAAACTTACCTGCACAGCAATTGTAGCAGCTACAATGTATGTCAAGTTCTTGATGCTATATTATGTAACAAGTAAGTTTCGGTACATACACCTGCTACATGCATGTACTCTAACATTCATGTTGATTGTGTTCAGCAGGTAAGAGTATGTGACTCTGCACATAACAAACATTAAATCTACTGGTTTCTCCTTTTTTTTTATAGAAAGTACGGGAGGGGGACGATTCAGACTCTGACTTGGGCGGCTTCTCGGATGACTCAGATAATGAAGCAGAGGGGAAAAAAGAAAAAGCAAAAACTGCCAAGAAAAAGAAAGATACCAAGGTCCAGAAGAAAAAGAAGAAGAAACAAAAAGGTGGGTAAAGAAAAAAATACCTAGATTGTTTTCTTGTTAGAATGTTACGAATCATTTCAAACACACCAAGGATATTTGGTCCATGTGTTTCAAGAGAATACTATAGAAAGTACCATTTTACAATTGTACTCAAATCACAAATGTATGTATATGCTCGTCTTTCAAGCTGTAATACAAATATTCATGCAGGGCTAGAAACTGTGCAAGTATATGTATTTGAATTTTCTGATGTCTACCTGTACTGGTTCATGACAAAACCAAAAAACTGTAATGCAGGTGCCGGTAATGTTGAATGTTGCCAGGTACATGTATGCAGAAAAATAAAATGTATTTCGAGCCCTGAATTGTATACATGTAATATTGTTTTGCTTGAAACCTGTAGTACAAGTGTACATGTATTTGTTACACATTACAAGGACTGTGACTATTTTCCAAGCAGTGTATACATACAAACATTTGATATGATCTACATGTACATGCCCCCCTCCCACCCCAGGTTCTGATGATGAGGCCCTAGAGGACAGTGATGAGGGAGACTATGATGGCAGAGAAGTGGACTATATGTCTGACGAAGATGAAAGGTCAGTTATACATAATTTTACTTTTTACTATGACATTTGTAATTATAGCTCCATTCCATAAACTTTGTTCCTTTCTCCTATTTACTACGTATAAAGGAGGTTAGTGACCAGTCTGGCAGAGTATAGCGGATGGTTGGATTTTTTGTGTTTTTGCAGCTATAACGTTAACTCATGATCCCTGTACTGCATTGGCATGTAGTTTGGCATGTCGTCTGCTAGTATGTGTGGGGATGATGCACATTTTTTGCACCATAGCAGTTTATATCCCTATCTTGAGGGTCTTGTGCAACAGGTCATTAATCTCATTGCATTAAGGTTTTTTTTTCAATTTTTTTTTTTATGTGATAACTAGACTGCCATAACATTTGATACGGGTGTTCTGGCCTCTGTGATAGCTTCAATATTCATTCAATTTTGCAGTGCCTCAGAAGAAGAAGTAGACAAGTCTAAAACCGACGGTACAGACCTGAAGGGAGTGGACCAGGAGATGGAGATGTCCTCTAGTGAGGAGGAGGAGGAGGGGGAGGGGGAGAAGGAAGGGGAGACTGCTGACGGGGAGAAAACAGCAGAAGACAAACCTGCCAAAAAAGGTAGTTGTTTCCTTCTGACTTTTCATGAGATTGTTAAAAAAATCATGTCTTATTATACATTTAATCAGTGTTGCAGGAAATTTGCTATTTTTTTTTGTCATCTCAATTTTGTTTGAGGTAACATTATGTTGACTGCCAAATGCACAAGGTGTTTTTCCATAGGTATGACAAGTCTAGGAGGATCTGAGGGCATGCTTCCCCAGAAAATTTTGATATCTTGACTCTCTGAAATGCTATTTCAGGCATTCTAATGGACTCATTTTGCTGGTGGACACATCAATTTTTGTCTGTCAAAATGATGGCTTGGGCAAAATTTGTGTCTGTCATGAGTTGCAAAATTGATGGACGCTGGCTAAAACACTCAACTCATAGTGACATTGTCTCTTAGCATGATATGGGTTCTGTGAAAAAGTCTTATATGGCAGTTGAATTTTGAAATTTTCATCTCCTTTGATTGACAGAAGAGAGTGACAGCAGCTCATCAGAAGACAGCGATGTTGACCTTGAGTCCTCCGCACTCTTCATGCAGGTAAGTGACCCTTGACCCGGAAGTACAACACTGAACAACAGACTAACAGTAGCTAGAGATACAGAAACTCTTAAGATATTTTAGAACTTCTGGTTTTCCCAAGTTGGTTTGGTAAAAATGGTACTTTTTTTTAGTTTTCAAGATTTTAGGCACAATTTTAGTACTGAAAATGTTTTTACTTCTTCATGAATCAGTTCTTTTACAGATAATGAACAGTGAGGAAGATAAATTGCTTAAAGATTTTGCTTTGGCATAATATTATATTTAATGTTATTTGGCCCAGCAACATTGACAATTTGTAGCTGTTAAGTAACCTGTCTTCTATGCTGTCGGATTGGGCAAAATTTTTGTCTGTCATGAGTGGTGAAATTCTATCAAATTATGGCACTGCTTTGAAGTGTACTGTGTATTCTTACAAGGCATTATAGCATTGCTTCTATATTTTTACTATTGGGTGTTTTGTTTTGTTGACATCTCCTTGCACTTTTACATCTTGCTGGTCTTTTCTTCTTCCCTCTCTCCTTCTGTATTGACATGTAGGACAAGAAGGGTGGAAAGACTCATGGGAAGGGTAGCGGCAAGGGCCGAGTGAGTAGCACGTCCATTTCTCCTGTGTCACTCACCCCCCTCTCTGTAATCACAGTGGTACAGCCCAACTTAATCTTCACCAAGTGATTCCCATAATGGTGTCATGTATTAGTGAGAAATATATCATTAAAGATATGTAAAAATCATACATTTACTTTGATTTTCCTAAATTTGTGCTAATGTCCATCGCAGTATTCATGGAGTATTTCACCAAGAATGTTTTCAAGTTTCAGAGAGAGTTTAAGGTGTCAATTTCTGGTGGACACTGATTGGTTACTAACTGACAGGATTTAATCGATTGACAGGACAATACATGCTTCGGAATGATGATGAGATGAAGGTCTTGAGTCTGGCTGGCCAACTGTAGTCTCTAGCGGACCAACTCCCCCGGCATGTTATCTCTCTATTTGGCCAATTTCTACTCTTTCCAGCCGCCTCCCGAAGCCTGCTAGAGGCTAAGATGCTACCAATAAGATCACCAGACACACATCCAAGCAGCTGGACACACTTCCTACACATGTACATAACTTGTCGTTGCCTTCTCTCTCTACAGAGTAAGAAGTCATTGAAGCCCCTGGGAGGGAAGGTAGGGTCTAAGGGAGACTCCCGATCAGGCAGTAGCAGCAGCAGCAGGGCCAGTACACCTGCACCTGACGGAGGCATCGGGTCTACACTGGCTGCTGCAGCCAAGAAGTTAGAACAGCAGAAAGGTCTGTTGGGCTTGATTAATAAATTTTTATGATGAAATCTTCTGGAGATCCCAAAACTAATGGGAAAGTATGATTAAAAAAGTCCAGCCAAAATTTTTGCTAAACCACAGGAATACAAAGCTGGTATTGCAAATTTGCGGTTGTACATAACTACATTTTACAACCTTAGCGGGCACAGGCTGGCCTTTTGCAACATTCATAACTTATTAGTCAGCACCTGTCTATTGTTTCCTGCTCACCCGTCTATTGTTTCCTGCTCACCTGTCTATTGCTTCAGGTACAAAGCGAGCAGGTGAGGGAGACAGTCCGCTGCCCAAGAAGGCTCGCCACAGTCGCAGTCACGAAGGGTCAGGATCAGGGTCAGGCACTCCAACAAGGTAACACAGTCATCTTCTCTACTATGTACAAAATGTACTATGTTCTATGTATTATGTACTATATGCCATACCGACTTTATCTATTGTTCAAAATGTCTGTTTTCAAAATACCTTGTGTGAAAACATTCTGTTTTTGCTCTGTGTCTTGTCCCTCTCATTCTTCCCCAAACAAATAAGATCAAAGACCTGAACCAGACGGCTGTCACCATGGTAACTGTGGTGTTGGGTTACATTATGTTGCAAGTTGCTGTTGGAGGGTCACCATATATATATTATGAATATATAAACAGCAATAGTTTGTTTAGCTGGACCATATGGAGGTAAACATTATGCATGTGGTTTGTAAATATAACCTAGAATATAAAAGTTCCTAGTTTAAAGAAAGTTTTTTTCCTTTTTTTTCAGTGAGCTTGGTCTTACAGAGGAGTCAGTGAGAAGATATCTGATGAGGAAACCCATGACAGCCAAGGACCTTCTTAAGAAGTTCCCAACGGGTAAGACAGGGTTGAACCGCGACCAGACAGTGGCTAAAGTGACGGAGATCCTCAAGAAACTTAACCCGGAGAAGAAAACGATAAATGGCAAGATACATCTTTGGCTGAAATCTTGAACTTGTTTTATCTCTTTAGTCATGTGGAATTCTTTAGTCATTGGTGAATGTACATGTGTTTGGAATGTATTTTGTGACATAGAAACAGTTGTGTATCTTCTCATCTGTGAAGTATAATCTCATGCTTGTCCAGACCCATAACAGAGTTTGTGGACACAGACCTCTAACTAGGGAAAACCACATACTGTATGCTGATTATAACCTTGGGTATATTAAGACATCAGATTCCTACAGATTACAAATAATTGCCATCAATTGTTAATAGGATTGATTGTTTAGTTGGTCGCATGGAACACAATTTAATCAGGCTTTGTAATTTCTGTTTTCAAAATTGGTAAATGTACAGTTGACATGTTCATATGTTCCTCTTTGTAATAATGTCACACATACTTAAGAAAAGGTTAGATGTACCTGTTTTTTGTAAAGTTAAGATTAAAATAAGATAAGTGTACAAGATGTAAAGCATTGTATGGAGCTTATTAAATTTTCGTATTAAAACATCTTTGTCACACTGCTGTCTGTATCTGAATCAGTATAGCTGGTATAATCGCCCTTCGGCGTATCACATCAGCTTCGCAGGCATGCAGCGCGACAGCAGCTAGCTATATCACACTGATCTTTGCACATTTAATTGCAGGATTTTTTACAGCTTTCTAGTGATGATGCCCCAACTGTGCCTGTCGTTACATTATTAGAGAATTTCTATGGCTACATGTAATGTTGTGAGAATGCAAAAGCTGTATTATGTACAGTAACGTTAGGAGGATATAAAAAGTCAATTTTCTAGTCATTTCTTCACAAAGTAGGTTGGATCAACCCTACTCCATTGCAAATAAGTGTCATTGAGGTAGTGGAGGTGCCGAAATATGATGCTTTACGAGTGTGTTCAAAAGATGGAAACACAGCTGTCATCCATGTTTGTTTATAGTTTGGTATTTTGTGGTGGTGCCACAATCTGGGTGCGTCTCGTGTGGCCAACCTAAATGTCAGAAATCTGAGATATTTCCACAAATATATTGAAAAGTGGATGTAAAATTTTCAATGAAGATTTTTTTTTCAATTAAAATGTTTCGATTTTTGGTGCAAAATTGTTACATGATGCCCCTTTAATTCCTATCATATAGGCCGTTCTCCTAGTGTAGTGCAATGAAAGAGAACATGGCAGCAGTGAAGCCAGTCAGGACCAGAAGGTAAACAGCCAGGAATCCGTTCTTGAACCCAGATCCGGGCTGGAAAGAACATAAACACAAACGTCAATAGTATACATGCACAAACGTACTTAGGAACGTTAGGTAATACGAAAGGAAATCGTCAAGCAACTCGATAATTTTTCTACTAACTGTACATATTCACAGTTATGACCGTCCCTTATTTCTTGTTTTATTCGTTATTGAAGATTTCTCTATACGTCTCTTGGCATTTCCTATTGGCGCTTAGTCAACAGACCCGGCCAACGTACGGCTGGCTCTCACTCATTTCCTGTGTCTGACATTTTATGGTTATCACTCCCCTCCAACTTGACCTTAAGATCAATCTGTAGTAATGCAATAAAACAAACTTACCGGTTTTGGTGTTTGGGGTTCAGGATTCAGGTCAAATGAACTGGGACTCTTCTGAGTTTCCATCTCTATCTCCTCGTGGTCGTCCGACGCTGAAACAGTTTTAACATTCTTGTCCACTCTATGTATATTGAAGACAACTATGCTTACTTAGTTTGGCACGATACATCAAAACGTAGTAGTGAGTTTGAAGCCGCGGTAGACTCTCTATACTCTAGCTTGATAATTTTAGATCTTTTCAACTCTTACGTCAAATTTTCCAAACAAGTGTGCACACCAGAGTCCCTCGCGTGAGCACATTTGTCATTTCGTGGCTGGTTTTGCTCAGGCACAGTTCCCTATACCATACGCTCTTACGTTTGTCCGTTGCCTTGGTCTGTCCGCAGCACTTGAGCAGACCCTCCTGTTCCAGGATGACCTCAGACAGAGCCTGCCAGGCGACCCAGCTGGCCAGCACGTAAGTAGCCTCATCAGGGAGGTCCATGGCGGGGAAGTCCAGGCCCAGGAACATCACGATAACTGGGAGGGGAAAAAAAAGTTTTTATCTCAGGGGAAGGAGAGAAGGGTTCTGTTCTTGGCCGATGTTTGAGTGTTCGCAGCTGTAACTCACGGTGGGCTGGACGGATTTCTCTAGGTCTCGGTATATGATTTACTGTTGGGATGGGCATCATTTATTAAATTAAATAATTGTATCCGTGTTTTTCAGTATCGAAATAAGATATTTGGACGGTCTTTGGACCCCCCCCCCCCACGCTGCTGGAATCGAGGTTTACCATTCGGACGACAAAGGGTCCAACAAAGGTCTAGATCTGTCCCCGATAAATCTAGAACACAGGTGGCACTGCTTATTTGTCCTATACTTATTAGTTGTGCACAATTAGACACAACGTATAAACAGTTTTAAAAACACAAAGTACAAGATAAAAGTACAAAGTCATCAACATTCTTTTGTATACAACATGACATTACAATTAAAAAAATAATGATCAACAAAATATTGGATATGTATGAAAAAAAACATACTGGCCATTATCCTAGCGGTTGTTCCGAACCCCCAGTGAAACCAGTTGAACACAACACGACTGAAAAGCAAACGTACAACTTGGGAAACCAAAGATGGACTGTAGATTCTTTCCACGCATGAATACATACATATATGACATACAATGTGCAAGAAGAAGTGTTCGAATTCGTCTTTTCCATATATGATTGCCTTGGTTAGATATTATTAAGTAGAAAACCAGTTCTAAACACATTGATTTTCAGAATCTAAAATGCTCCTAAGTTCACTTACTTTGGTTCATCTGGCCCAGGGCGTAGGAGTGACATGAATGGCTGTAGAGAAAATGAAACATTTTGTTACAGAAATATAACACATCGTTTGGATAGGTGAATGGTTATGTTCAATGTCTTATATTTCGTTTCATATGCTTGAATTAAAAAAAAAAAAACACCCGTTACGCCATACGACCCCACCCATCGTTTGGATAATGTTAGAATATTGGATATCGAGCAGGTTTAGAGGCCATATACCTCAACCGAGACGGGGGTGGATACAGATTGCACGCACCTTTGAACCGTTGCCGACGTCATATTTTCGCTAAGGTCACGTGAAGTGACATTGGGTTCAGGTCATTTCAAGTATTTATAACTTTTGTGCACGACATAGTGTTTAAAGTATAAAAATAAAATTAAAGATAAATCTACCTGAATAACAGCAAGACTGGTCACAATGATGCCCATAACCGCATGTATTGTAGCATTAGATCCCTGTAGTTAAGAAATAAGATATGGTTTAAACCGATGTTTAAGCCGATTAGAAATATAGAGCTAACAACATGAGTATATTATATAGCTATAGCTATACTGATGTTATTTTTCTGACGGAGACATACCGTGACAAAGGTCCACTCTTTGTACACAAATATGAGGACAAACGCAGCGATGGCCAGAAGTACGGTTAGGCTCATGACAGCACGGTGAACCTGGAACAAATTTAAAAAAAAACGTTATTATTATTTTTCATTTACTTTAATTTTCACCTCAAAACAATGCTCGGAATCAAATGTTTTGAAAGGAAAAGAAGCAATAGCTTCAGCAATGATGCGTGTATTTCAGCGACGTCTAGCGACAATTGTTGGTATGGCAGTGTGTACTTACGGCGAACCAGATTTTGACCCCACACCAGGTGCTGTTGGGCCACATGGGTTTGTAGAAGCGCGCCAGCACAGCCCCGATACTGACGGTCAACATCCAAGCACTCATCATCAGTCCAGCTGTAAGACATAACACAAACAGTATGCCACAACAATCATATTTACTTTCGTCAGAAGGTCTATGGAATCACTTGTCTTTAGTGAGGGAGACTGTGAATTTGGCGGCATAACTCTTGAAGGCATAGATGTTCATGATTTTTGGCAGGCAGGTTACCGTTGGGGAGACCAATGTCAAGTGCAGAAAGGATTTCCGTGGAGGGTCCCTACGTTACTGTAGTGGACCTTTTGTGTTTGCCGCTTGTTAGCAGGATATCTCGAGTATATTCAAATAGATGTTCATGATTTTCGGTAGGCAGGTTACCGTTGTAGAGGCGTAGGTCAAGTTAGAAAACGGGCCTCGTGTTTGTGTGTGTGTGGTTGGGGGGGGGGGGTCCTACGTTGCTGCAGTGAACCTTTGGTGATGGAACATACCATGTAACTTGACGAAGAGGGGTGCTGAGGCAGTGGCGACCAGACTGATGCTTGTCACGTCCACCGGTTGGTCAGAGTAAACACGGCTGGTGTGACGTCTGATCTGCACAGAACCATCTGCAATCATAATAACAAGTAGTGCGCCTTCACAAAATCAGGAACATTTTGCTCCACATTATACTACTAGCATTTATCTAAAAATGCTATTAAGGTAGGACACTTCTTGTGTTTTTGTGTGTCTTAAGAGTATAGTAGTAGAACGGGTTCAACTCACCAGATTGAACCACTGTGGGTCCGACAGCCAGGAAGATGTGGTAGGACGAGTTGCCAAGGTCAAAGTACTGGTCAGCGCCAGCACCTGCCCGTGCTGTCGGACGGACAGCACGGTAGAACCGGCAGGACAGCAAACCATTGCTGTACGCCACCTCCACATTACTTACTCCAGACTGGGAGAATAATGAACGGGGAGAATAATGACCGAACAAAAAACGTTTTCTAGGCTGTCAACTAAATTAGCGACATCTTGTCCGACATAACATTTAAAAAAAAAAAACTATAGATGGGGCTTTCATGTGGATGGTGTTCAGCACCAAGGACAGGTATGTTAACCTGCATGTGGATGGTGTTCAACACCAAGGCCAGATGTGTTGGCTGTCAATTAAATTAGCGACATCTTTTCTGACATAACATTTAAAAAACTATAGATCGGGCTTGCATGTGGATTGTGTTCAGCACCAAGGACAGGTATTTTAACTTACATGTGGATTATGGATTGTGTTCAGCACCAAGGACAGGTATGTTAACTTGCATGTGGATTGTGTTCAGCACCAAGGACAGGTATGTTAACTTGCATGTGGATTGTGTTCAGCACCAAGGACAGATAGATAACTTGCATGTGCGTGGTGTTCAGCACCAAGGACAGGCATGCTTGCATGTGGATTCAGCACCACCCACTGTCCGTTTTTGCTTAATACTGTTTAACACTATGGGCAGTATAGCAACGATATCCAGAGGACAGTTAACCATTAATAACGATGCACACGGATAGAACCATACCAACTTACATTCGCGGCATCCCTGGTCGGCCTGCTGTGGCCTGTAGCGTAACTAGAGAACACCTCGATGTTTCCGTCCGTAGGGTGACGCACGCATTCGTACATGTCGTCATCAGCCTTGTAAGGAAAAGAGACGGGGGACACCATAAACTTACGATTCTCACCGAGTCAAGTGCATAACTTGACGTTTCAAAAGCGATAGATTCGTATCGAAGGCTGGGGATTTTAACTTAAGTAGAAACTTTTCCAATGGTTTTGGAATTCAACATTTGATCTTGTTTCAAATGGTTAGAAATCAATTCAATGCAAAAGGATATTGTGTAGTTTTGAATATTAGGATAAAAGCATATCAAGTGGCTCTCACACACACAATCATGCTATGTTGATTTTTATGTATGGCCGTACTGAGAATAAGTACTGTCCTCGTTTCGAACGTGTCACCTTCGTCTCGCGAGAGCTTGTGCGAGAGTAAAGTCGGAAGGGCTGTTATTCAAGCTCACGTGCGCTCACGTCGGGATGTGCTCTCGCGAGAGCAGAGTCAACCTAACACCGATATTTGGAAAGGGGTCTATTGGAATAATGGTTACATAATTATCTCACCATTGTTTTGTCTCGGGAGAATCCTATGGCGACGTATCCATCGCTTTTTCCAGTCACTTCGACGATGACGTTTTCACCGGTAACATCTGGAAAGCACAAAATAGACAATAGCTAGTATTGCATATAGAGTGCGAGTAAGCATATTATAAATTGAACTATAAATTGAAAATGACAAGAATACAAAATCTTTTGGGTCATGTTGAGGATCCTAAATCAAATAACAGATTTCTAGGTTTGAATATGGAATCATAAAAGACTCACCGGTCACCCAGGTCGACAGAAGATCACAGTTTGGTGGAGAACAGCCGTCTGGGACTCCGTAACAGCCCTTCGCTACTCCACAGCCATCCGTGCTGATCTAGAATACAAACCCCAATTTCACTCATAACACTGCATTCCATAGCCTCTGCCAGGCTTCTGATGAAAACACTTATACGAGTGGAACGTATAAAATGGCAAGTAAAAAAAAGTTGACTTTAATACCCCAAGTGGATCCTCGTCAATAACTGGACCGATCTGAAATAGGAAATAGAATACAGTTAGTAGAATATCTTTTGCAGGAGTCTCGACATGAATGGGACTGAATGGGATTATCTATATTCATACATTATCTTGAGGAAAACTGTTAAACCTTTACACATCACACATTTTCTTACCGTATCATGAGAGGTCATCTGTGTTGGTAGTAAAACGTTGAACTTTAGGCAAACACAAGGTTACACAGAGATCAAATTTTCAACGATCACTTCAAAATCTTGCGAGAGTTACAGCTACAGACACGTGACCTTATTCTTACCGTTGAGCTGGGGGGCGTGGCTGCTCCCGTTGCTATGGGAACGTTGGTAGCTCCCTGTGTAGCCGTGGGGTCAGAAATGGTGGGAGATTCCAGGGCATTGACCCAGAATGTCGTAAAGTTTTGAAGAACCGTAGCCCTATAAACACACACAACACTGTCAATCAATCAAGATTGATACAAGCTATACATCGTAATTGACTTTTTAAAACATCAATTAATGGATGAAGATCATTATCGTATTGTTTTATTATGTTTTAAATAAAATGGTAACTACTAACGATTAACATAACCATTGTGTATTTAAGATTCGAGTAACAGCAGGGAGCTAGTTCGTTGGTTGTATTGTGTGCTCCACTACCATACTCTTTCTGTTAGTGCTCAGCAGAGTACGCAAAATTCCAAAGTCTTTGGGGATATTAAAGTCAACCGGGGTTTAGACCCGTGAGCTCCCCGATGCGAAGAGAGCACGAGACATGTAACACCAGCCCTATGATAACATACCTGAACTGGAAGTCCCCCACAGTGACATTTGGAGCCGTCCAGATCACTGAAACAACCGTCTTCTGAACAATTGGTAGACTGTAGTTGGTTCTCCTGTGTCCAACAGCATTCTGATGAAAAAAGGTGAAAACTTGAATCAAGAATAGGAAAAGTTTGACAAATGATACGTCGTCTGGTTGGATAAATGATAATTATGATAACTTTATTGCTGAGCATTTGTACGAAATACAACGTATTGCAAGAGCATCTCAGAGAGGATGTAGGACTCGGAGCTATAATATGTCTGGTAACCAGGCTACTATGTACTGCCCTACACTAGACTGTGTAGAGTGGATTATATACGTGTACGGTCCTTGAGTTTTCAAAAGACCTGGTCTTGATTACAGATGTCCTACTTTCTAGGACCTGACCTTACGCCCTTAGTTCACGGGGTTGCATGATGCTTGCAGCTTAGCATGTAAGTTATTGTAACACATACACACACACATGGTATGATATTAGTGTCTAGTCTGGTATGTAAGAGAGCCATTATAACAGCTAACGCAGTCACACACATACATACACAGACGCACACACACAAACACACACACACACACACACACACACACACACACACACACACACACACACACACACACACACACACACACACACACACACACACACACACACACACACACACACACACACACACACACACACACACACACACACACACACACACACACACACACACACACACACACACACACACACACACACACACACACACACACACACACACACACACACACACACACACACACACACATACATTGACATGCAAAAATAATAACAATAACCTTACCTGTGTGTGGGGAGCACAGTCTACCACCAGGGTAATCTCGTCATCAATCGCCGTAAAAGTTCCCACCGGTTGGTCCTGACCTACGGGCCGAGCTTGGATGTAGAACCCCTCAAAAGTCTCGGAGCCTGTTCGTTGTATCGTGACTACAACAAGAATGCAATAACTTTCACAAATTACGTAGTCACTGTATATTTCAAATCATGTTCAGTAGGTAATACGCGAAATTTTCAAACAGTTCCAATGTTATTCAAGCGTCAAACTTTCACACACTCCAAGAAACGAAATAGCAAATTTCGGTTATTTCCCATCGAACTTATTTTGATATGCAGTACGATGAACTGTTCAACAACAGAAAATTGAATCCATAGATATCTCTATACACTCATTTCTGCCTTGTCCTGATCACCATCCACAGCTAGTATTTTTGTTGCTGACGTCATCGCGCGCACTGCGTAAAGACGTGTTGACTGGTAGTGTATGTTGGCACTTTTTGTCATGATGTCACCAGAAGGACAAACTCGTGTGTGAGGTCGTGTGGCGTAGCGGCAGAGTGCGCGACTCGGAACTTTGAGTCCCGGGTTCGAGTCCTGACATGCCACCGATCTTGTGCCCTTGGGAAAGGCACTTTACACGGCTTTCCTCACTTAGCTCAGGTGTAAATGAGTATTGTCCTGTCATGTATTTGTCCCCTGTGTTGGTGGCGGCATTAATATAAGTTGAAAAAACTTGAGTGTGTCGCCCCCACGTCTGGTGATTACATGTTGGAATAAAAAAAAAAAGAAAGGACAAACTCCATAGCTGACGTAAAGACGTGGTGACTGGTACTGCGTTGTACAACCACTATTGACACTTGTCATAATAACCAGAAGGCAAAACCGTAGATTATGTAACGTGGTGACTGGTGTTATGTAACCGCTGTTTACAGCTTGTATGCTTTAGTCGATGGCCGAACTGTTGCTTACCGAATTCATGTGTTATAAGACATGGTGACTGGTACTGTGGTGTACATACAACCACTATTGTCATGATTTATTTATTTATTATTTATTTCTGTATTCTTTTACCAGGGTGGCACTACTCAGTGTCATAGCACTGCTTTTCAGAGTGGCCCTGGGTACGACACATATATACACGGGAATACAACAATATTTACACCAAAATCATAATCGTGATCCATTACTCGTAATCGGGGTCATGCCAGGTCGTAATAAGGGATAATAAGGGATGATAACCAGAAGGCAAAAGTGTGGCTTATGTAAAGACGCGGTGACTGTGTTGTACTGGTACACACGCTGTTGACACTTGTTTGCGTTTAATTGATGGCTGAACTGTAGCTTACCTAACTACTAGTATTGTAAGACATGGTGAATGGTACTGTGTTGTACATACAACCACAGTTGCCCCAATTCTGTCAAATACTTGTCCTTAAAGTTACATAATGTACGAATGATGACTGTTATTATCAGTACTTTACGGTGTTGCGCTACTTTACTCTGAAACTTATTTTAGCTGCCGAGACTCTTTCTTACGCTTGCGGAAAAGGACGAAAGAGACTCGGCTGCTAAAGTAGATTTGGTAACAAGGCTACACAGTTGCGTGGTATGCATAGACTTCTGAAAAGGCCAGAAAACACAGAGACTTGTAGAGAATCGTGATCCATTCCCAGTTATTAGACCAAAACCGTTTCAAGAGTCCAAACACAGGCCAGCTATTGGGCAACATCTTTATCGTCGCTTTGTTTAACTTAAGTACCGCCGGGGTTGTCGCATTTTACTTGATATTATGCATTGAGAATTACGTTTGATCTTTGTGGGTTAGGGTACGGTCACATCGTTAGTCGTAAGTCGTCGTACGGATTTGATGCTAGCCTGGAATCCAGCCTTGATATTGGTTCGCTTCCCAAGATCCGCTACCCCATTTGTGTACAGCATAGCGGACATTGGGAAGCGAACCAATAACAGGGCTGGACTCCAGGCTAATTTGATGCCTTAGAATTTTCGTACTGCCATGTTGGTTTGATTAGATGGTGGACATCCGTAACCTTTCATCCCCGTCTGGCCGATTTTTGTGGCTTTCCCCCGCCGAAGGGAGTATCCTATTGATTGACGGTGTTGAGCCGGGGTCTGGCATCCAGGCTGTTGGAGACAGACTTGGGTGACCTGAGTTTAACCCCTACCGTAGTGCAAAAACAAAAGTGCAGGTATCCATTCCATTTAAACTAGGCAACGTTCACCTTCAGATACAGCTGTAAACACCACACAACAGTTAATATACCTAGTGTACATGAAACTTACCGTTGATTCGTTCACCCGGACTGTACGTCTGTTTATCCACGGTTAGTTGGTAGGGTGGGCTCGATGTCTGTCCCGGGACTTTGTGAGCGGGGACCATGTCGGAGCATGCCGAGGACGGGACGTAAGAAGAGTACCCATCCACACCACCGGTACTCAGTACAAAAACTATCGTAACAGTCGCTAATATCACAGTCATGTCGTACGTGCAGAGGACGGAGAACAGTACGTGTGCGGAAGGTCAAGCTCTGTATCCGTTTGCCTGACCCGTTATGTGGTCAGCGCCCTGGTCAGAGCCTTTTTAATAGGTCAACACTGGGTCAATGGGCCACGCCTAATGGTTTATATATACATAGCAGCAGATGAGAACACAGCTAGCGAGCTGGCTAGCTGGATTTATAAACCACTACCTCTGAGGGGTCGGCTATAAGGAATGCTTTACTAGCCTCAGTACTATGAAGACCATGCCTTTCTTCTTGATCTTTCTTATCCTGGGTCAACTCACGTGTGCAAGACTGTTTCCCGGGACTACACAAGCCAGTTTGTCGGCTCCAGGGCCCACATGTCCCCAGTGATATTATTCCACCCAGTTAGGCCCTGAACTCTAGCACCCAAGCCTTTCTTTGAGACCGCCTATTTTTCCAGCCGACACTCGCAGGCGGGCAACACTCCCAGCACTGTATTGATATCAGCGAGCTTACGATGTCCAGACACGGTAACCATATAGGATATATAAGTATTAAACCATATGCATTCTCCACAGGTCGGCTTAGGGATTTATCAGCATAATTCTGCCTGCTTCGCATAGGCGTTTTTGACGTGTCTGTCAACTTAATGAAGTCTCACTTGTTACAAGTAAATTGGACAACAACACAGAAAAGTCCCCCGTGAGCATATATCGACCTGGGCGGGTGAGGAACACACCTAAGCACCGTAAACATGCCGGGGACTCGCGATGATTTGGTTACCAGGCACAGTAGGATGGCTATCTATCTCTCATAAGGGCCGATTTACACAGGGACAAAAACATCATTTGGCCTGTGTCGAACGACGCGCGGCGCGTGTCGTGGGACAGATTTTGTGTGTGTGTGCGCGCGCGCGCTTTTTTGTGTGTGTGTGAGACTGTGTGTGTGTTGTGTGTGTGTGTGTTTGGGCGTATTGAGTTTGCCTATATCAAAATAATCTCCAAGTAGATTTAGTATTCAGGGGCAGGGGACTGCTTGGAGATTAGTCTCGAAACAAAAAGCGAGCTTTCTTGATATATGTATCTTCCTTGCCAACATGTCATTTATATCTCGTTCTCTTTGAAATGTCCCCGAATGAACTGGTGGTCATTTTTATGTCTCTTTCTTTTTTAATATGAAAAGGAACATATATTTGAGTCAGAAATACTGCCATATTTTAATCTCAGTACAAATCTATAACCACATGTGTACACCACCCATTAGTAATTTGTAAACTGTCTGTAAACAATTCTTATGACAGAACTGGTAGGACTGGTTTTCTTTTGATAATAGGTGAGTTAAACTGTTTTCTGGCCGATCAAAGCCCTCGCTCGATTTAATGAGCCGTTCAGTCACAGTGCATTGTTGTGGAGAACTCTTTATACCCGCACATGTTTAGTTGTGTCTGCTTCACTGTGCTACACTGAAACATCGAATCGAAGTCTGCATATTGCATACGGTAGGTCTATTCTTTATTACTAGTGTCACACATACCCGAATATGGCCTCCTAAACAGTGTACTGGTTAATAGGAGTATAATGTAGGTCGGAAACAAGGTCGGCCGTGTGCAGCGAGGTCGGCTACGTACAGTTCGACAGGAGGTTCGACGATGTTTGGCTGGTAGATAAGCAGCGTTCGAGGGTCAACTTTTACCTTAGATTTGATTCGACTTAATCTTGCATACTGCATGTAGTAGGTCTCTTTTCAACCTTGCATTAGTGTCACGGATAAGTAAACGGATATGGCCTCCCGAACACTGCCCAACTTCCCGTAACCTTGGCTCAGCAGGATCAGCGAGGTCGGCTACAGTTTGCCTGCGCCAGCTGAATGCTTCAAACATTCGGGTTTAGACGGTTGTCTGGTAGATCAGCAGTGTTCGAGGGTCAAATTTGACTCAAAATCTAACTTAAATTCGATTCGATTTAATGCGAAGGGGTAGGCGTGGCGTAAATGTAGTCAGACTGTTCGTTGAGTACCGAATTCGAAAGTAAAACATGATACTTACGTTCTAGATTTTAATTCAAATGCACAGAATACCATGTGTTTGTGTGTGTGTTTTTACATCCTCTGGTGATTTAGTTTTACGCAATTTTAAGATTTGTTGACTTTGATTATGTGTAAAAAAACTTTTAGAATGTACGGTGTTGCTGGTTGTCTCGTTGTTCTATTTTCTACAAAACGATTTACTGAGACGGTCATTACAAGTGTTGCTGAGTGTGTAACTCAGGGACGGGGGGTGGGGCACGGGGGTGGGGTGGTAAATGTCCTTGGTTGCATGTTGGTCCTGGGTAGGAGCTAGGCTGCTGACATGACATAAAACAGTCTTTCTTCTACCCAGGCTAAATGTATCTTCAAAACAGCTGCCGCTATCAATTTTAGTCACAGTTAATTGTCTGTGCTCGGTGATTCCCTGTGGAATTTTCTGGAACTTTGAAAATCCAGTTTTGCCGCCCTGAAATTGCATCGGATGTCTTTAACAACAGTTTGAGTCCAATTTTCACCAGGATAAAATTGTCCGGATCGAGCCAAATTGTAAAATCGCGTTGCGCAGTGAAGGGCCAAAAACGATTGTAGGCTTAGTTAATAATACCTTAATTTGAATTCTTTTTCCATTGGGAATTTTGAAAGATATAGAAATGTTGATAAAATGTAAAACAAAAGATACCAGCGTATAGCTAGCGGCGAAACGCGATTTTACAACACAATAGTACCGAGCACCTGGTCTTCCCACCTACTTCTTGGAAGCCCCATACCCACTAAGGTAAAAGTGTCCGGATCGAGCGCTTCACCTAGCTTGTTTTGGGGCGATTGTTAACGTTTTAAGCATGAAATTATGACAAAATGTGCTAACAAATGGCAGTAAATGTCAATATCACACAGATATCCTCATTCAGAATTTATACGTACTTGTGACCGTTTCCACGATGTTTGGATGATTGTGATTGAAGAAATGTCCTTATTAGATCTTTTGTAACATCCTATTTTTTTGCTGACTGGCCCAGAAAAATGGCGACCCAGCTGACTACAGAGAAGATCGCCGAGTTCCAAAAAATCTTCCAATCCATCGCCAACGACAAGAAAATCATCAGTCCTAAGGAGCTCCGAGCCTGGATTGAATCCATGGGACAAGACCCGACCGACGAAGACCTCAAGGTAAGACGTCCAGATATGATAAGTATAGAATATTTCAAAATTCAAAAGATTGCCAGCTGCTTTTATGACAAACGGGACAAAAACAAGGAAACACACCCGCAAAAAACTTGGCTCATTCCTCATTTCAGACACTCTTGAAGTAATGTAAAAAACATTCAATATCTTGGCTACATGTATTTTTCTGTTTTAGGAAATGATAGATGATGCCGACTTGAACAAGACCGGGTACATCAACTTTTTCGAGTTCCTTGTCCTGATGGACCGGATCATGACGACACAGAGGGAGGTTCGTCTGAGGAAAATGTTTGACGAGTTGGATCGGGTAATTCATTTCTTTGTTCTTGAGTATAAGCTTGTACAGTGGGAATATATATCCATCGTTTCTTTATATTTCACTACATACCATGGTATGGATGAAATATATTGTTTTATCCGATGTTTCTTCTTCTTCTTCTTCTCCTCTTGTCATTTGATCAAATGTGTTTTTTGTGGCCGTTTTCAGATACGGATGTATATTTTCGGTTCATGAACCCTGGTATTGAATCTTGATGACCTGAAATATGGTATGGGGGTACATAACTTCATCCAAGCTTTTGTCATACACCAGGTTAGAATATTGTAATTATAGTTTGTTTGAGGTATATTTTGCCACCTATACGGCATTAAAAGCAAGTGACTTCTAATTAGGCATGAAGGTGCCTCGGGTTATTAAGAAAGACCTGTTGCTGTTCGAAAGCTGTAGGTGAGAACATTTACTTTTTGTGTAGGAACAAAAGTTTTACCTTGAAACATGTAACTACCATCACAGATGAACTTTCATGATAACGTACAGTGAACGTTTTTGTATTGCACGTAGGACGAGGATGGGTACATCAAGGCGTCCGACCTGATAGAGGTGATGACAGAGCTGTCCATGGAAGAAGCACATGAGATGATCCGGGAGGCGAATCCTAACGGGAACGGCAAGGTCAGATCAGCTGGATCTGGGATCCCGGTCTGACCACATTGAGATCCCGATTTAATCACACTTCAAAACTTGTTTCAGCTCCATTTCATTTCATTCATTTTCATTGTAATAAATGATAACAATAACTTTATTGCACAAAAATTGTACAGAGTACATCTACTAACTAGTACATAACTACAGATTTATAAGACTAACCTACCTAATACATGAGTGTGTGGCTTTGGGAATGTGCTTATACAATCATTGGAGGAATTTCTAACGCCTAGATGCGGGCGGATGCCATCAATTTAATAAGATCAATATATACATATGGCCTTAGGAAGTATAGCTAATCTCTATAATTCCTTCCCTTTCTCTATAGGTGAGCTACTCGGACTTCCAGAAGATCATGGGTCCGTCATGAGCCCGTGGCTCCCCCTTCACATCTGCTTGGAGATCAACCGATGAAATACTTTTAGACTGGTGTATGTGTGTGTGTGTGTGGGGGGGGATGTACTTCTAATTTCAGAATACGGATATTGGTAGACACGATTTGCCAAAAAATATTGTAGCTTGTAGTATATGTAGACTTTGAAAAATGTAATGTTTATGTACTAGTATTATGTGGAGTTTGGCAGTATTCAGCTATGCCGTATTCAGCTATGTGTGACAGGGGTTTTACCTACTCCTAACCATGGTTGTGGAGAGTTTGGCAGCGTTTGGGAGGCCATATTCGGCTATGTGTGACAGGGGTTTTACCTACTCCTAACCATGGTTGTGGAGAGTTTGGCAGTGTTTGGGAGGCCATATTCGGCTATGTGTGACAGGGACTTTACATTGTTTTTTGCCTAAAGAATGACCACACCCTTACAATAGTTACGTGTTTCTCCGCACGTACCACGTATACCACGAAGTACGAAAAGGTACAAGGTCCGACAGGAGTACTTGTACTGACAAGGTCGCCAAGGACGCTTGTCAAAAAGCTGTGAATAAACCTACTGTAGTACTAAGTATTTGCCAACTGTCTGAATACATGTGTAAACATGTTTCAAGATTGGCGGTTTTAGGTTGAATAGAGGGTCATTTATATTGCAGTACGTGTGGAGATCGTAACATACGATACAATGTCTGAACTCTGTTACGACTTCTCAAGTTGAATTGTTGGGACTTACAAAAGGAAATTGTTACATGCAACTGGATTTGGACTTCCGCAATTTGGCGTATTTGGCAGCGGGGGGGGGGGGCGGTTTGCGGGTCTAACATTAAAACAACAGCAACAAAAACAGAAATGTCTACGAGTAAGCCCTCTATTTATACCAAGAATATTCATGCTTAAACTATGCGTCCATCTATAGTGCATAATTTGTAGTTAAGAATAATCTGGAAACCGCATCAAAACAAATCTTAGTGACTTTTGACTCCTTTGAAGCACATCTAAACATCTGACATGCTAGAACTTGCTGATCAGATACCTCAAACACGGCTAACAATTTTTTACATTGTTTTCAGCAATTTGTAACGTCCAGCTCCAACATATTAACATTCCCAAAGATACTTCACTGCATGAACGCCTAAACGTGCGTAAAGGGAAAAAGCGGAACCTTTACATGTGCGTACAGAATGGATTTTGTGCAGTGATTTCAGAGTTAGTTTTAACAAGGGTGCAAGGGTATATGCGCCGAAGGGAGTTGAGTTGCCTCTGCCTAGCTAGTGACGTGGTACAGCAGTATGAATGTTCACAGGTGTCCGGGAGTGTTGAGCAGAGTTAGTGCAGACCGATGAAGGTGAACATGGCGACTGTGAATCCAGTCAGGACGATCATGTAGATCACCAGGAAACCGTTCTTAAAACAGGAGTTAGGCTAGACAAAAAAGAACGCAAACATTATTTAAACATACATAAAACATACAAAATACGTAATCAGGAGTTGTTTATAATAAATTTGTGTTAGCATACGATCCACGTAGAATACTATTCTCAGTTTTTTTTATATCACGTCCATCAAAAATGCGCGTAGTGTGTTTCCATATATTGCTACAAAATAAACCTACCGGGTTGGGTGTCTTTGGTTCCGGGTTCAGGTCAATTGAACTGGCGCTCTTCTTCTTTGCTTGCATTTCTATCTCCTCTTGGTCTGAAACTAAAAACATGTTCAGTCTCTACTCTACTAAAGGGATTGAGAACCAGATTTGTTTCTAACCTGATAATTAGCATAATATATATTTATCTGCTGAAGTAACAAGGTCAGCCACGATGAGGTACACTTTTGACCTTAACTTACTGCATTTTGAAATATCAAATCATAGTTGCTGAGTGTAATCTACAAATGGACACATCATACTAGATACAATTTCAAAGGATGCCAACGCCAAAGGCACAAACAATCCATCAAGGCCTACTTATGTTATCCTGACAAATATGCACAAATTTGCGCAAACACAGACACACTCACAGACAAAAAAAAAACAATACCTCCATTTTCATGGAGGTAATAGTGTTTTATTGGCTATAAGATGCAAACCCACCCTTCGCCGTGGACTCGCAGCAGCACTTGAGCAGACCCTCCTGCTCCAGGATGACCTCAGACAGAGCCTGCCAGGCGACCCAGCTGGCCAGCACGTAAGTAGCCTCATCAGGGAGGTCCATAGCCGGGAAGTCCAGGCCCAGGAACATCACGATAACTAGTGGGAACAAAAGTAACGAATGATTAGAAAGTTGGAATGACTGTTAAAATTGAATTTAGCACAATGAAACATGAGAGACCGGTATCAAATAGCTATAAATAAAAAAAAACATACTGGCCATGACCCTAGCGCCTGTTCCAAATGCCCAGTGGAACCAGTTAAACACTCGCCGTCTGTAAAAAAAAAACATCGTTTATCAAGTAATACTTATAACTATTTTGTCCTGTCTATAATCATGAAAAGAAGTGACAAGAGATGAGGCAGGTAAAATCAGAGTCACTTAAATTTAAGTCACTTACTTGGGTTCACCTGGGCCACCGCGCAACAGTGACATAAACGGCTAAAAAGTAAACAACAACAATAAAAACAACGTTAGTTGCAAAATAAACTTCTACTTTTTAGGATGAATTCATAATGAGAAATAGTGGCGAAATAGAGAAATAGAGATAACGCAATCAGCGTATTATGTTGGTGACGGAAATTACCTGTATAACAGCCAGGACGGTCACTATGATACCCATGATGGCGTGTATCTCGGCTTTGGTTCCCTGTGAGTTAGCAAAGAAAGAAAACACGTCATCACCTCACGAAACCTAGAAATGGCAAATGGTGCCTCAACTATCTTACTATAACTTGTTTTCTATCTTAGCTGGAAATAAAGGAGACATACCGTGACAAATGTCCAATTCTTGAAGAAAAATATGATGACAAAGGCGACCACGCATAACAGTACGGTCAAAATCATAGCAGCACGATGGATCTGAAAAAAAAAGTTATTTTGAGTTCATTTTTTGCCGTGCGAAACTTGAAAGATGGGCTTAGGACTAATGCGAATTACATAGGTTATCCCTCGACGTTTCATGTTGTTTGGCTTAAGTGACACGGGGTCTAATGTGATCTTACGGCTATCCCACGATATATATATATGTCGTAAACCTGTCGTACGACGTTCGTGAGATGTGTACTTACGGCGAACCAGATTTTGACCCCACACCAGGTGCTGTTGGGCCACATGGGTTTGTAGAAGCGCGCCAGCACAGCTCCGATACTGACGGTCAACATCCAAGCACTCATCATGAGGGCAGCTAATGATGGTCACAATAAAACATATCTTTGATCTAATCATTGATTAGCATGTACGAGCACCATATGTTAAACATTCACGCAAGATCATTTAACGCTTCAACAAATAAACCTACACCACTGATGTTTGCTTTAGCTTTTCTTAAAAGTTTCTTAATAGGGAATACTTTGAAAATAAATGTTTTTTCCTCGAATCTTTTGATCATCTAAAGCCTTAGACTAGTTTATTGCATGCTGTAGAGCTTGCACCACTGTGTGGCCCAAGGGCTATAGAATGGAGACGGGCACTGCACTAAACCCTTTGAGGGATTTTCTGAATTTATGTCTTGAAATAGTCAATTCTAAGGTACGTTCTATCTTTGTGAAAATTTGCTAACAGGCGGCACATTTGCGTCTGGAATACAGAAGACGTGTAGGACATACCATGTAGCTTGACTAAGATGGGGGCCGAAGCAGCGGCAACCAGGCTGATACTGGTTACATCTACCGGCTGGTCAGAGTAGGCACGACTTCTGTGTACCTGGATCTCCACAGTACCGTCTGCAATAACACAAAACCGGTCAGTCTCTTCATCACTTAAAAAGAACAAAAAAAGGGGGGAACGCTAATTGAAAGGACGTTGTTGTTAAAAATTCTGTCTAAAACGTTTGAACGAAAATTTCCAACATATTTAGAAATGGGACTGTCAAACACCGTGTAAACATTATGCATTATATATTCCACGGAGGTATATGTTCTTTTTGTTAAATATCTAATAGTATACGGTCTGACCATCCCTTGAGTGAAAACCTCACCAGTGAGTACGTTTGTATCTCCGGAGGCCAGGAAGATATGGTAGGACGAGTTGCCAAGGTCAAAGTACTGGTCAGCACCAGCACCTGCCCGTGCTGTCGGCCGGACAGCACGGTGGAACCGGCAGGACAGCAAACCATTGCTGTACGCCACCTCAACATCCGTTACTCCAGACTATAACAAAATAAAACAAAACAATGAATACTTGGTAAAATTATTCAGAAAACATGTATCCAAACGTCACCATTAGTAATCAGGAATGATTTCGTGACGTAAATGTACTGTGAGTAAAAAAGTGTTCGTTTTATGTATATGGTAGTCATCACTAAGGACAGGTCATTTATTTAGATTGGGAAGATCTACCAATGGAATGTGGAAGGTGGAATGATTGACATTACAGGTGACTAGCACCTGTTCAAAATGTCAATCCAGAGAGAAGACTGTAAGGTTTGAACCACTCACACCCTGCTCTTTTAGATAAAGAGTGGTGGGATCAAGGTGTGGCTCTCCTTAAACACAGGACCACCGGCTTGACATTCTACCTGAGAGGACGTCCCGAACCGAAGGTAGGTACTCATTTTCAATTAGCTGAGGAAATAGGTGCTTTTCCAAGGGACAAAACAGTGGGGTCTGCCATGGATTCGAACCCAGAACCTTCAGATTCTGAGTCAACAACCCAAACCATCAGACCACTTTGAACCTTAACAGGTCTTTTACTGAATATAAATCTAACAAACCACATACAAGCAAACACATCTGTCATAAGGAAGTGACAGGTGTGTTTGATAATGTATATGGGTGGTGGTAAGTGCTAAAGATAAATTTGGTTCTCCACTCTTTCTATTGGTAATGAGTGTTAAACATACGGACATGTTTACCCGTAAATGGATATCTGATCATAAAACTGTCATATAAAATGATAAACGTTGAGATTCGTGCATAGAGACGCTTAATGATAAGGCGTACTCTGTCGTAGTGATTTAGCTCTTACTTCCGGGACGGAAGTTTTGTTGTAGGTGGCGCTGGTTAAGAGGGCTGTATGCTTGTTTGGGTTCCAGAGATGGATGGATGGTGTGGTAGTCTAGTAAGCGTATGAAAGTGAGTGGGCGGAGATTGAAGTTCAGTTGATTGACAGTGTTGTAACTTGGCATGCCTGGTGTTGTAGATTGTGGGTGCCAGGGATGTGTACTGTGTAATCATGCTATGAAACATGAACTGCGGTGTCAATTGTGGAGTAAGCTACGTCATACAATTGTATGGGTAACAATCCATTTCACAATGTAGGTCATTAGTGCAAGTCATTTCTACTTTCAGGAAGCCTGAAACTTTCGATTTCAGATACCGATTTCGAACACACACAAAGATAATAAGAGAAACACATGAAAATAGAACCATCCTGCCTGACTCACATTTGCGGGTTCTCTAGTTGGCATGGATTGGCCTGTAGAGTAACTAGAGAACACCTCGATGTTTCCGTCCGTAGGGTGACGTACGCATTCGTACATGTCGTCATCAGCCTTGTAAGAAAGCAAATGCAAGTTCAGTGCGTATTATGTACTGAAAAATCACTAGGGTTTACACACAATATCCAGTTTAGATATGGTTTGAATATCCATGTATATTATTGGCACAAAAATTACGGTAACAGTTGATATTTTGTACAAAAGCCATGGCATTGTTTTTCGTGCTACGGTAAACCACACTACCTACATGTACATACCATTAGCTGGTCATGGGAGAATCCTATGGCGACATATCCATCGCTTTTTCCTGTGATCTCAATGATCACATTATCACCCGCAGCATCTGAAAACAACAATGACAGAGAGCTACGATTACCACGTGTTATTAAGGTTTTTATTGGTAGGTTCTTAAAATCATTATCCTCCCCTACACCCACAAAATACAATCTCTGAGCTACTGCTATTTTTGTCCAGCCAAACTATCACAGGGTGCATCTGTCTTCTAAGACGAAGCTATCTGATGTTGTCTTGAAATTACTTCTATCACAATATTTTTACAGTACTCAGATCGCATCAATATCATATCACGAAGCCAGAGCAACGAAACCCATCATATCCAGACCATAGTCATTTTTTCACGATCACGAATTATAGTATATGTAACTTATTTCAGTGTCGTTTTACAACTTACCGGTCACCCAGGTCGACAGAAAGTCACAGTTTAGAGCTGAGCAGCCGTCAGGAACCCCATAACAGCCTTTAGTTACACCACAACCATCTGTTGTGATCTAACATGAACACATAAAGTTTACTACCTGTAGCTCTCTCTCAATAACTTTTTCAAAATTCAATTTGAGCACTAATATCTGGTATAAAATTTTACATTGCCTTTGTACTCATAGTCAATAGACTCCGATAATGAATACGGAATGAAAATATGGAGGCTTCAAAGTGGACAACAAGATACATGTATAGACACATTAGATATTCTGACAAGAAGAATAAATGTTTAAATACCCCAAGTGGAGCCTCAGCTGTGATGATCTGAAACAAGAAATAGAAAGCAGAGTTTAGATTTACTAAACTTTTCTCCAACTCAAAATTTGACTCACCAGAAATTTTGACGTGGGAAAAATCACGTGTCCACAGCATTTGGGTCAGATAGCTGAGGAAGACTGAGTGATTCTGGTGAGTCAAATTTTGAGTTGGAGAAAAGTTTAAGTTTTTCATAATGTAATTTACCAACTCAGATGAACTTTCATGTTAATGTCATTTTTATTTAGTTTAAGTAACCGTTACCTGCATAAAGTAAGGTAAGGAATGCTCGATGTCCATATGATACAGCGTGCAATGTGGTCTGAGTTTTAAGTTCATGTTCAATATCAAATATACCCTTTTGCTATACCATACAGAATAGACGGATCGCGTAACAATGCCCATAATCCGTAAAATACAAGAAAAACACATCAAAATGCACATGCTTAATGGACCCAACCCCCTCCCCCATTGGTCCAACCACTAATTTCCAGGCTGCCATTGGTTGAATGGTTAATTTTGATGGACACCTAGCATTTCACAATAGCTGACATTTTACAAACTAGCATTGAGTCGTTTTTAATCGACGCCGTTACCGAGGTTATGAAAGCATGGCTGTTGGCCTTCTTAATTAGTCCAGGTCCGTGTGCAAACAGGGCAGAGATTGCATAGGACGTCATTGACATTGTAGGCTTGCTTTGAAGGTCACTTTGAAGGTCGCTTTAAAGGTGACTGCTTTTGTGGTTCGTAGTATTTAATTTATGGGCGGACCACAGGATCAATAGTAGTTCGGACACAAAGTAGTGCGGCATAGGACTTGGGAAAGCTGTGAATAATTTCATCATGTTGGTGAATGATTGAATAGCAAAGTTCCTTATTCCAACCACAGACGGTCATCGAAACGTTAGTTCTTTTTAAACAAGTGGTTGTGAATAAAGAACTTTGCTATTCTATTGACAAAGCTGCAGATATTATTTCGTACACGACAGCGAGGTGAAAACGTATGAATTTTATAGAGGAATGCGTCAGGTTTAAGACCGTATAATTTGAATTATAACTTTTGTTTTTGTCACTTTGGTCTCCTGCAGTCTAAAGATTTTTAACGAATAAAAGTATTACCTGTTTCCCTGCAATGATATATATATTTGAAGAATTGAAAGGTTTTATAACAATGATTGTCTTCTTACCGTTGTGCCGGGGGGTGTGGCCGCTCCCGTTGCTAAGGTAACTGCAGCTGTTGCTATGGGAACGTTGGTAACCGCGGTGGTGAAAACGACGGTAGGCGATACCACGGCATTGGGCCAGAATACCAGTTTGGTCTGCACTACTGTAGCCCTGGATGGAAAACAGGAAAAGACATCACGAAGGCACCAGACTGGGTCAAGTCAGTCTTTTTACCTTCGCCAAGAAGGTTATGTTTTCAGAGGCGTTCGTGTATGTGTGTGTGTGTGTGTGTGTGTGTCTGTCAACACGATAACTTGAGAAGGCTTAAATGGACTGACTTGATATTTGGTAGGTGGGTAGGTCTTGATGAGACCTCAAAATGATTAGATTTTGGGCCACCTGGCGGCTTGTCATGGTACTGCAGCAGAACTTCCGGTTTTGATATCTCATGATCCAGACATGCTAGGGTAACGAAATTTAGATGGTAGATAGCTCTTGTGCTGGGGATGAAGTGACATGAGTATGAGCCCCCTAGTTGCTTGCTCAAGAACTGCAGGGGGGTTTAAAGGACAAATGTTTAAAAGAGGATAACTCAAGAACCGATTGATGGATCATCGTGATTTTTGGTATGTAGGTAGCTTAAGTGATGCTTGACATAATGATATTACAATTATGCAAATATTGATGTAATTTGCATAATTAATGAGGAAATTCTATAAATCAGCTGCATTACATGATAGGAAGTTCAAGCTTGTAACATATGTTATTAAGAACGAGAGAAACACAGGCAAATATCGATTATGCAAATGAAGACTTAATTTGCATAATTAATGAGAAAATGTTATAATTGCATAGTGGTAACTGCCTGGAATTTCATACTTGGGGTGTTTGAAAGTTAAGTGAAGGTGAACATAATTAAACATAACTTATTCAAATAAGGACCACATTTGCATAATTTATGAGAAAATGGCATTCTTTGTTAAGATAAGACTGTCTTTTGGTGGAGAATATGATCAACAGACTGATATAATTCATGCAATTGAGGATCCTATTTGCATAATCAGGGTGATTAGTATATTTCTTATTCATAAAGGCTAACATCATTTGGCGAAGGTATGAGATCGTGGAACTCTAGTTATAAATGAACTTGATGGCAACCAATCACATTTCTATTTTCACACTTAAGATTAGATAAAGATGACAGACGGCCGCGACCACGTCAGCTCTTAATTAACAAGTGTTTGGAAATAAAAGAAATTTGCTATTGAATCATGTAGCAAGCTGACAAAATTACATATACAATCACACTGTGGTTCTTTTATATTATTATCATTGAATTACTTTAATTGTTAACTCCGGGGAAGGAGATATCCTTCCGCGGAAAGGTTCTATAAGTTGGCGCAGTTTTCATGTTTGCAACTATACATAACAAACCACATATAAAAATATACAATAAAAAACCTGGAGGTATACAATCTCAGATTTTACTTGTTTGATATTGTTCCGTGCAATAACTTACCTAAACTCGATGTCCCCAACAGAGGAGCTAGGAGCTGTCCAGTGCACAGAAATAGCCGTGTTGTTCGCCAGTGGTAGTTTGTGTGCAAAAGTGTTCTAATGTAAAGAACGAGAAAAAGAAAAGAGCTGGATTTATTTCACTGATACGTATGTGATGTTTGTATACATATACACTCGCAGTCGTATACATAAACGTATAACGTTACACAACGCAGTCAAAGTCACAGCACACACGCACGCACGCGCGCACGCACACACGCGCGCGCGTGCTCACACACACACCTGTGTGCCTGTCCCACAGTCTAAGAGCAGTGTGGTGGTTGCGTCGATCGCCGTAAACATCCCAACGGGGTCATCCTGTCCAACGGGCCGAGCCTGCACATAGAAGCCCTTAAACGTGTCTGAGCCGGTACCCTGGAGTGTTACTGAAACGGGGGAAAAATCATAAAATCAGATACAGTTCCAGTCTCCAGGCATTACTCAAAATTTTAAAAGATTACAGTCCCACCAAAAGTTCAGCCATGTAAGGTTATATAAGATGGGCCTCTGTAGCCTTGATGTCTGTTGTAATGTATACACATTGTTGTCCCAGTTCTGTTTGCTCGCTACTGATTAACAAACGGTCCTACGTATCTATGTCCTAATCACAGCCAATAGTTACTCTACTACAGCGGATGCCCAAACTCACTTCAGGTTACAGTATAAAACTATGATTGCACATGTGTAGTTATAGTACTTATGCCTTTCATTATTTCTGAACTATTAAGTTTTTTTTGCCCGTCCTCAACCGGGCAAAGTACCCAGTTGGAACGTTCGTACGTACATCGGAGCATTCGATTGTTCTTACGTACATTGGAACATTCGAATGCACGAACGTACATTGGAACATTCGAATGCACGAACGTACATTGGAACATTCGAATGCACGAACGTACATTGGAACATTCGAATGTTCGTACGTACATTGGAACGTTGGAACGTTCATACCTACGTTCCGAAGCCATTTGTAATCCATGCCATGCCATGCCTTGCTGTTTGCGATCTTTGATGAAGAAAGTACTTAAGTTTGGCTAAAATGCGATCCTCTTGTTTTAATTTCTTGACACCTTAATTTTTCTGCCGTCAAAATTCATAAAAAAAAGAGCTAGATCATTAATTTTAGCCACAGCCAGACTATTCAGCCAAAAACATAAAATACACCCAAGGTTTAGGAATATTATCCTACCTGTGAGTTGTTCCCCTGCACTGTAAGTCTGTTTGTCCACAATAATTTCGTAGGGAGGGCTGGACGTTTGAGCGGCGACTCCATGGCTGGGGGTCATGGAAGTACAATAGTAGGACCCCGATAGACCGGAGGCATCTGAGTACCCATCCACGCTTTGGGTACTTAGCATCAAGACGGCCACGGTGACAGCAAGGAACATCTTTAAAGAGAACGATAAACCGGCTGTTACAGGCTGAATAAAGGTTCTAAACGGGAACTATGCTGCTCCAGATGTCTTACTGAGGGGGTCTATGGGATGATAGATGTCAGCTAGCTTGAGAAATGAATCCACCACTCCTCTATTTAAATGGCACTGGTGTGTTACACCGAAGGGAGATACAATGCTACCTTAACGTTACCCTCGGGGTCTTCATGTAAGTAATCAGTAACTGGTCAGTACAGGGTCAGCAATACCACGCCCAAACATTTATATCTCGTATCCTAGTAATGGTTCATATCCTTCCGCTGATCAAAAATAAACATGGCGATCTAGCAACGGGGACGTGCTACAATGGTTTTAATGTGAAGGACGTTTTATTTGGGGGAAGGTGGGGGGGGGGCAAGTTAGAAATTTCAAAAAGTTAGACGAAAATCTTCACATTAATACGAGGGAAAGAATGAAAAATATTATGGAATTATAGCTACTTTACTTACAGCCGAACATATTAGAGGTATCTATGACCACTTCCACGTAAAGTGATTTGAACCGGTTTATTGCTTTGTGGCTGCAATCAATCACAATAATCAAAACTACGTGACGCAGACAGAATCTTGCACCAGGAAAGCGGTTTTTTCTGCCGATTGAAGACTGTATATTAGTTTTTTTCATTTTAAGTTATTTAAAAATTTCTAACTCAAGAAATATCACGTCAAGTAGGGGTTTATGTGCTGCCAAACAAAATAGAAAAAGATCGGAGGGCTGGGACCATCAAATGGTGATGCGGAATACACCGTGTTGTATTTTTTTAATCCCAAATATGCCATACTTACCCAAGAAAACACACATTTTAACGCGAAATGTGCTACAATTGGGTGTTTCTAAACAAAAACCGTAACAACATGAACCGCAAAGTCCGAATCCAGCATTCAACTTTTCGAAAGCGGTGCACTCGGCGCACATGAAACGCGTCATTATCTGGAAGCCTGTGTGATAAAACCAGCGTGATACCGCTAGTTATCACACGGGCCGGAACACCCATGTCGAATGTTATCGCGACCCAGGTATGACAAAAGAGACAATATATATGTCCCAAACAGGTCCTAGAATAGGTTATCTAAGGTTATTACATTTTCTGCATTCAGTTTTCTTCATTCCTTATGGGAGTGAAAATTACATAAACAGAATCAGCTAAAAAGACAATAATAGATAAAACATAAAATTCATAAAAACATGTTTCACTGAGGTACGAGATAGCATACCTACTTGCTATATGTAATCTTGTTAGTATTTAGAAATATTTTAACTTACCTTTGTAGATTTTTGATTCAGAGGAGTCAGAGACGAAAAGATCAGGTCTAGCCCCAAACACAGTCAATAGTCAGAAAGAGAGAGAGTAACCCTCACTATTCAAGCTAGTGACTCCTAAATCTGTTACGCAAGTAGATCTAGTTTACCTTAGCGATAAAAATGCTATTTATTATAGTTGATGGGTTGTCAGTTGCTATGGACGGCACAGGTATTCTCAATCAGTTATGGTCCCACCTTTAACACGCTAATGATCCTTTGTTTGTGCAATCGCCACACTTTTTTTTCTTACAAAATGCAAGACGTGATAGGGTAAAGTTCATCGATAAGCCACAGTCACCCACGTCGTGCGAATGTTGTGTACGTGTCGTACGATTCACAGAAGGCTATAACAGAACTACCTACGACACATTCGCTGTCGTAAAACTGTCCTGAGATGAATATGACAAGGTCTTACGTTGCTTGTCTGTCGGTTGTGTTGTATAACAGATGCAGGACAGACTAACTAATATATGGACCCCGTCACATACGTACTGCGTACGATCGCAAATTAGGGGTATTTTGAGATTGTCGTGCTGTATTTTGAGTCTAGCAAAAAATACAGCTTTTTTGTTTCGAGAAAGATCTTGTCGGCTGCTGGTCCTGCTTGAAAATGTAACGAACATGACCGAGACCTAACTACAACTGGTCACCTGTTGCTATGGACGTCGCAAGAATGTTCTTAATTAGAAATGCCCCAACATTCAAAGGGTCAAACACTACGTGAGGGGTTAAAGTGCATTTTTATAATCTGCTGAATCATTTACGTCCTAATCATTTGATTTTTCTGTGGTACGTTTTTTAGTGAAGCTATGAGCAGAGGCGCCTTTTAGCAATTGCCTACGACAACCTTTTGCATCACAAGAATTTCATACGACACGTACACGATTGTAGTAAGAAAGTCCTCAATCTGTCGTATGGCGTATGTAACAAGGGCCTAAGGTTAACGTGCTATTTACACAATCTCTCTGCTGGTTGTGTTATCAAAAACACCATGTTGCTAAGTTATTCGTTATGTTGTACATGGCCTTTAATCTGGCATAGTCAAACATCTAACCAGTGCCGTAATGATATCAGGACTGTGCCACTAGTTGTGTTTCCTATTATACTTTCTAGGTGGTTCGTCTGGGGCGCTACTGAAGCAATCTATGATATGAAAGAACACTAAGTCATGTCTTCCAATATGATCTTTACTTCTAGTGACCTCTCAATGCTATTGTAGCATTAATGCAACAATATGTCAATTACATATACGTGTTCAATAAGAGGAAAGTCACCGATGGACAAATAAAGTCCTTAGATACTAAACAACGTACTAAAAGCCTGTATTACACAAACCATGTTATTAATTGCAGATTGTATTAGGTTCGCAATGGGCGCTATTTATTCAAGCTATCACACACACATAAAGTGACTACTAGATAATACTAGTATTCTGTATAAAGTTATAAACCCCATTGCCGTTTGTGGAATGTCCGCTAGGTGCGCTATTCCATCAAAAGAATACAAAATAAAGTGCATGCCCTTTACTATTACTGACCTTTGACCAACCTACCACCTGTAACAGCACCAACATTTTCCAAGTGAGGAGTCCAGAAGTGTTGCCTACTCTCTATGTACGTTACTCTAGAACAGAATCATGTCGGATTTGATAGTAGATTTTTGCTGGGATGTTTTAGAAGATTCTCGGTTACCGTTGGTTGTCTGCACCACGTTGGTTGGTGTCCTGACTGTCTATATAGGGCGTAAGTTCTACGTAAGGCGACAGTTCAAGCAAAAAGTCCGGAAGAAGAACGAAGAAAGGCAACAGGCTTTTCAAGACGTGCTGAAGTCTTTAAATACTGACGATAAGGTAAGAACACATACTCCTGCATACGTGTACATGTTTCTGAGATTTTAAATGCATCCGATGTAATTTCAGGGCGGCAAAACTGGATCATCTAAGTTGATTTCCTGGTCATTCTTTTTATAAATCAAACATGTCGTTTATGTCGAGATCAGAACACTGTGATGCTGTTTCGCGTTTTAAACAAACAACAATGACAGCGTTAGAAACAAATATTTTGAACCGGATCACGAAACATGGTTTAAACAAGGGGTCCAAAGTCCGAACCCTTCGCTTAGGTGTGAGCTCAGATTTATTTACTCTATGGTTTAATACACAGGAAGTCGAGGATACAAGAAAGGCGGTCTTGTCTCTGACATTACCACAACTCAGCCAGCAGCTGAGAGATGGACAGCTGTCAGCTGTTCAGGTGCTACAAGCATACCAGGAGAAGGTAAGAAGTAACGCTAAGTACGTAGGATCGGCAAATGATGTTACTTGCCATGTGGAATTGCAGTGTATGTCTTTTAACCCTTAGCACACTAAAGTAGCCATTTGGCCACCAAATCTCTGTTGGATTCGAGGTTTATAGGCAGTAGACTGAGAAAGTTAAGCACAATAACATGCAGATATGCATTTTCCCCATACAGGCCCTTGCAGTGCACAATGACTTCAACTGCATCACAGAGCCCATTCCAGACGCTCTTGTATGTATCCATCCTTTCGTGTCTGTGCAGTTTTGAGATTTGTTTCTTCTGCCAACATTGGTAACTATAATAACTATGACGTCAATGAAAAATTTCCATATCCAGGCTAGAGCGGAGGACTTGGACCGCGCCGGTCAGAGGTCAGGACTACTGTACGGAGTACCAGTGTCAATCAAAGACAACATCGACATCAAGGTATCGGACTTTTTTTACAGCCTTTTCATATCAACTGATAACACGTTTTTTCGTGTGATTTTCAAATATGTTTTACCTAAGACCAAACTCGTTTGATATGACTGAATTTACCCCAGGGAATGGCGAATACACTTGGTCTTGTCAAGTACCTGGAAAACTATGCCGAGGAAGACTCTGTTATCGTCCGAGTGCTGAAGAAACAAGGGGCGGTGCCGTTCGTGAAGACCAACGTCCCACAGACGATGCTGGAGTAGGTTTGCTGTTTTTGTTCATCGCAGATTGAAGCTATTGATTAGTCTGTATACCAATGTTTTAACGCTCCTAAATGCCGCCGTGGGAAGGTTTATCATCTCCATGAAAAATGGAAGTATTGTTTTTGGTATGTCTATCCATGTGTGTGTGTGTGTGTGTGTGCGTGTTTCCCCATGGTTGTAATGGCTATGGTTGATTCAGTAGGGCACAGAGTAAGAAAGTCATTAATCACTTCTACATCTGGTAGCGCTTGCTGCTTTAACAGATTTTATTAATGTGTTTTGTAACTTTTGTTTTTTTTCCAGGTGTGTTTAGGGAGTGTGTGGGGAAATAGTGTAACTGTAGACTTACAGGAAGGTCAATTGGAGGTCTAAATTGAAGTAATAGAATCATAACTGATCTGTTGTGTGTATTTGTTTCAACAGCATCGGCTGCAGTAACCCGCTGTACGGCACGACCTTGAACCCGCGTGACCCCACACGCAGTCCTGGCGGGTCGTCAGGCGGAGAGGGCGCGCTGATTGGTGGAGGAGGCTCCATCCTCGGCCTCGGGAACGACATCGGCGGCAGCATCCGGATTCCCGCGCACTTCTGCGGAATCTGCGGCTTCAAACCTACTGCTAACAGGCTGAGGTAAGTGTTGTATTAATCTTGAAAAATCGGCCGTCGAATAGGCTGGTATACTCTGATCTTGGAGTAGCCGAATGCAAGGAATTGCCTGATAAAACTGATAATATCTATATAGTAAATTGTAATTGGTACATGGAGAAGTAGTCTCTTTGTGTTATGTTAGATAGGAACGAATCGTTGGTGATATGAGACTAGGAATGAACCGACAACATATATCTTTTTTCTATCTAGCAAACAGGGATACTTCAACTGTTCTCCGGGTCAACAGGGTGGTGAGTTAACACGATGATATTTTTTGCCTCAGTTTCTAGGTTTACCCACGTTTGTCCTTGTACTCGTGGTTTGGCAGGTCACACGTTGGGGATCTTCAAATCCCCCTAAATACTCCTCAGCGCTAATTAATTCTATCGCACTGTGCTATCGACATAACCGGTCCGTCATGACTTTTAATGTTCGGTGATTCTTTCAGAGTAAAAGTAGCGTCAAATGTTTGACAAATTTACCGGAAAGGCTACACTACATAGACTTTACATTTTTTTTCTTGAACCGATGTTGTGCCCTGCAGTGGTCGGGACGTGTGGCCCTCTGGCCCGGGACGTGAACAGCCTGGCCCTGGTGATGAAAGCTCTCCTGGTCCCGGACATGTTTGAACTGGACCCTCTGGTACCGCCTATACCATTCAGACAGGAGGTAGGAAAACCACAAATATACGTGGCTCAAGTCTCTCTGTGTACATGTGACGCACTGGGTAATCGGTAATCTGGTAATCGGTGTCGCCCCCCGTCGCGGTAAAGGTCGATGGACCCCTGATGGACCCTATGGTGAATAGCCTCTTTTATCACCGCTCAAGAAGTAGACTTGTTTGGTGTTAAGTATTCTTACAGTGTTTCCTTTCTTCTTTTTAATTGAGATATACGAGTCGAAGAAACCACTGAAGATTGGCTACTTTCTGGACTGGGAGCTTCAACTGGCTACACCGGCGTTAACAAGGGCGGTGAAGATAGCAAAGGAAGCACTGGAGAAAGCTGGACACAAAGTAAGGAAAGTTTTGAAGAGCAAATTTGTTCTTAAATAAATGAAATAAAATTCATTATCCGTATTATTGAACACCTATCGTGTTCAGCAACATGCCTATCTAGTTTTATACTTGAATGTGTTAATTAGGGTTAGGATAAGGCACGGTTCTGGATAGTCTCCGCGCATCCAAGAGCGTAGATTTGCCCCAGTCACGATTCTGAATACGCGTAGGCTATCCAGAACAGTGTCTTCTTGGATAAAGCACGGTTCTGAATTCAGCACATTTTGGGTTTCAATCCTGGCTGTTACTATATTGTAGTCTTTTTATTCTACGTTTTAGCTTGCATACATGTTGTAGTCCAATCGTTTGTGACTTCGAAGTTCGGTACTTCGAATCCCAGTTGTTGTCGCTTACCCAGCATGCACGCGACTGCTAAACTAGGTATGACTTCACTATTCTTCAATGAGAATCATATTTGCCATGTTTGTTACAGCTTGTGCCATTCCAGCCTCCAAAAAGCGACCACGCCTTCTTTGACATCATTCCAAAATGTCTACTGGCCGATGGTGGAACAACTATTCGTAACCGCATGTAAGTAGTGTTTTCTAGTAACAAGGCTGAGTGGTTATATGGATGAGATCCGCGCGCGCATGAATTTTCATCCGTTAAAAAACGTTTTCGACTAAACTGTAAATCGTACAAAATGAGCGCATATATGTCGTATGTTCCACAAAAAAAGTATTGGAAAACGATACTAAGGAAAATAAGAAAATGAAGAAAAAACAAGAAGCCATAGGTGACAATCCTCCGTGAAGTTTTATATTTTGCAACAAAAATAATCCCAAGCGTCAACGCCAGACCTACTGTGCAGACATAAGGCAACGGTTAATACAATTAGGGCGCGTCACAACCATAAAACATAAAAAGACCTAAATCCATTACTGCTCTCAGGGCGTGTAAAGATACTGTGCTTCAAGTTCGAAGTTCATTTTAATTACACACACACAATCATTGCATTCACATAAAGATTGGACTATCATGATCGTGTCACTAGTAACAAAGACAGCCCCAGCGTCTTACCGTGCCTGTTACTTATTAAGCGCGACTGGCAAATTCCAGCAACAGTTGCGGCCAGCACCACGAGTGTTACTGCCGTGGTACCACTTATCGGCCCCTCACCATCTGCCTGAAGTTCCACCCCCCCCCACTGCTATTCCAAACAACGGGTTTTTCTGGACCAATTCCAATTTGCCTCATAACTATAGGGGTGCATCTGCAATATTACATTGACCGCGAAAGCAGCAACGGCAAAAATACACATTCGTGCATCAACACGGGCATGCACGCAGACGGCGTATAAAATTGCATGCCGATTACACAAAGAGAACCCAGTGTTTTGACTGCGAACACGAAAAAACGACTCTTCACAACACTCCGTCCGGAGGTCCTGACCTCCTTCACGGAGTAATAATCTTGTTGGATAGGCAATGGAGTCAGCTTGTCTATTGCAGACCTGTCGTGTAGACAGCGCGTGTTGTCGCTCGCTCCTAGCCTCTACCAGGCTTGAGGGCGCGGCTGGAAATAGTAGAAATTGGCCAAATAGAGAGATAACACACCGAGGTAGTTTAGCCATCCAGTTTACAGTTTGCCGGCAAACTGTAAACGTAAACGGCAAACTGTAAACTGGATGGCTAAACTCCCTCGGCGTCTTATCTCTCTATTTGGCCCCCCGGTGTCAGCAGGCACGTGCTGAGGGGAGATAGAGTCAGACCCGCGACAGGAACACAACGTGATGGATGATTCAAACCTCGTACAACACTATAGGGATAACGGCCTAGGAACGGCCTAGGAACGGCCAAGGAACGGCCTAGAAACGGCCAAGGAACGGCCAAGGAACGGCCAAGGAACGGCCAAGGAACGGTCTAGAAACGGCCTATAAACGGCCTATAAACGGCCTAGGAACGGCCTAGGAACGGCCTAGAAACGGCCTAGGAACGGCCTAGGAACGGCCTA